TTCATCATTGTACCTATATATGCTGATTTACAAATTGTTTATGACGAATACAAGTACAACGATATAGGGGTACACCCTGGGGTACACAAAACAAAAGTTGGAAATTGTTGGTTTCAACAGGATGGTGCACCTGTGCATAACACCCTGATCGTGCGAGAATACCTATCGGGCAAATTTTCCATTTTCCAGGAATCTGGGTAAGTCTTTAAATCAGTTGTTATCAGAACGACAAGTGCAACAGGGGGAATATTTTCTTTGTCTTGTTGGCGCGTAAAATGTAGGTTGTATTTGTATTTTTTTCTGTAAAACCAGTGCCGGATGCGTTCCGTTACCAGGACATCTCTGATCGTAACACTATCAAAGGAGATGTGCGAGAATAGATGGAATAATGAAATTATAGATCGTCTCACGTAAAAAAGGAATCGGGAGAAAGTAGTGTAACCTCCCACTAAGTTTATTGTTCATCTCAATGTCGCTGTGCTTTGAATAAAGATAGGTATAAAACTGGTAATTATTGGGGCCGTTGGAACCACCCTCTAGACTCCCAATGAATGAGCGAAGTGTTTATAACCGCATAGATGTTTATAATTTGAATGGTCAACTGTATTTATACAGTTGACATTCTATGCGGTTATAACTTCTCTTATATATATGTTATAAACACTTCGCTCATTCATTGGGAGTCTAGAGGGTGGTTCCAACGGCCCGAATAATTACCAGTTTTATACCTATCTTTATTCAAAGCACAGCGACATTGAGATGAACAATAAACTTAGTGGGAGGTTACACTACTTTCTCCCGATTCCTTTTTTACGTGAGACGATCTATAACTAAGCACCATATCGACAGTATCCGCGAATTTCCTTCGGCTATACCGATCACGGTCGAGTACGGTACGATCGTCACCTGATACGACGCGGTTTGAACGAATCATCGTAATTTTGTACCTATTCTACGAAAACACTCGTGAAAGTATAAACATTTGCAATGTTATTACATTTGCATTATTGTTACTAATTTGCTTGTCAAGAGCAATGGTTGTGATGATCAAACACGATTTTAAAATGAACGGTGTTTGAAAAGGCCCCGAAAGACCAAGGTTAGTTCCGAAAAACCTCCACGTAGCTGTGACGTCACTACGAATGTTGGCGCTAGCTGTAGTGTTGCTTACAATTAATCCAGTGCAGGAAAAAAGCCTGGAATAAGTAATATTGTATTGTGCCGGGGTGTAATAATAGATCGTGAACCTAATAAGTTGTTTATAAACGTCTCGACAGGGAATATACGAAAAAAGTGTGGTTATAACTCCGATGTGGTATCAAGAGTGTCCCTTTGACGTCCTGCTTATAATATTGTTGTGAAGACCATTTTAATGTAAGTACATAATTTACTTTTACTTTCAATCAGTTATCGACGAAAATCCATCGATATACCTACCTATAAAACTGTAATTGTAATTCAGAAAATGGTTTACTTCCAACTCAATGTTGGGCATATCCGTGACCTTACTGTGTACACATTTTTCTCTCTTTTCGCTTCCATATATCCAACAGCACCATCATCATAGTTTTCACGTTGACATCTGTAAGTAGGGGCGCCATTTGAGGGGGACAGGAGAGGGTGGTCCCCCCTTCCCCCCGCAATAATTCGAAAAAAGAATCAAAATACGCAGGTACTTATAGTAAAAATGTAATGTATATGCCGCATGAACCGTATCATGTTTAGCATAACAAATGCCTATGTAAATGAACCTAGGTATAGTAAGGTACATAGTACATACACTCGTGGTCAAAACTTTCATGTAATATTAAATATACCATAGGCCTGCATCGCTTAGCGCTGCCCGCCCTACCCCCCCCCCCCCCCCCACGGTAAGGTGAAATGGAACCCCTGTCTGTAACAATGTTTATTAGATACACTATACAGATAAAAATTGACGTTATGCTTCATTTGAACCATAACAGATGTCAGACCTAATGGGCTTTGACTCCACTCGTTACAGCTGAATTGTAGTACTCGCGTTTCGGGAAAAAGGCGGGGACGAATAATGGCAACCTTTGGCAGACTACGAACCGCCCACCGCCCTTTTACGAGCCCGACAGAACTCATTTTTACCAGGACCAGGAATCCGAATCAAACAAAATCTCGATGATGTCGATCTGTCTGTACTGTACTCGTAGGTCTGTACTCTCAATTTCGGCTAGACAGCTGAACTGATTGGTACCAAATTTGGTACACATATTACATGTTATGCAGATGTCGCTGTGAGTAGTATTTTATAAAAGATAACTTTTATTTATTTTATTTATTGTGTTTCTAAATATTCTTTACTTTTTACACTTATTGAGAACAAGGGATTTTTAATATTGTTTATTTTACCATCAATGTTTTTTTGTATTTATAGGAAACATAGCGCTGTTTTTGTAGCATGTTTCTTCAGTATTTAAAAGTTCGTTCTCACTGTACTGTAGTAATAGCCCGGTCATCTCCTCTCTTCTTTTTATGACGCCACACACGCGCGAGATTTGAATTTTTAAATTTCCGGATGTCGGCAATTTTGTCGCGGTAAATTTGAATTTGTGCGGGTGATTTGAATTCCAATTGTGGCTCCGCCTAGTGGGGGGATTTGTTGGCGTTACTAGAATCGCTAATATAGTTTTCTGTAATTAGCATCTATGTAGCTCGGCATCTAGTGACTGACTCATGAAATAGTGGTGTCGTAGTGGTAAATTCGAAAATAAATGTATAGGGAATTGCGAAAGTATACATGGTGAAATGGTGTTACGGTGCCAATGTTTCGGTGGCGTCTATTTTTATTTAGATCAGAGGTCCTAATTGGTCGGTCATTTTGTTCTGGCGTCTCCGTATGTCATGATAACCCGCTAACATTTGAAATTTGTTATAATATGGTAAATTTGAATTTTTGCGGGGATTTGAATTTTAAATATACAAGGTGTAATGAGGGTTATATACAGGGTATTTGTGATGGGCGTTTTTGTACCGGTGCCAATAGGTTAACACGTCGGCCATTTTGTTTCGATGATACCAAATTGAATTGTGTGTGTCGGTATATTTGAAATTAAATATACAGGGCGTAATGATAATTATACACTTACGGATAGCCAAAAGCAAGTATCACTTTGAAATAGGTTACCAATCCAATTGGAGCCAAGACGTCTTTCGTATAAGTAAAGTTATAAGGCGACGGCCGCCTGTTACTAGATTAGTTGATTTAAAAGACGACGAGACGGAGGGTGCCTTCTGCGAGGAGGAAATACAGTTGGTTATTACCATTGACGAGGATACAGACGATACAGTATCACAGATCACATCTCGTTTGAAAAATTTCGTTTTCAACACTCGTTACGTAATATACTATTTTAGCACTCTCGTTCAGTGCTGAATTTTTAAGTCCATAATTTCGTGATATTCAGAGACAATATAGCTTTTCTCTCGAGACTACCGGATATAGGCGCATATAATGTCAATAAAAAAGGGCCTTAAAATGCAAATCTACATTCATTTCTGGGATCTGAAGTAATGGTTGCAATTTGAAATACTGAAGTCTTTGACATTTTCTTATTGCTAATTTTGAAAAATGGCAGCAGTTCTGAAAACTTTTTCAAGACGTTAGAAAGTAATAGAATCTAGCCTGTTTCATTTTAATAAAAAACAAGATGGCGCCTACTTTACTGAAGCGTCACCATTTCGAAATTATTGTCTTTCAATTCGCAATGGTCGATTATGGTTTTTAACCAAATTTTAATCCAAGTTTCTATTTCAACTACAAGTTTAAAAACTTTTAACGAACCGGTTACGCGAATCTCCCTGTATAGAGATCGCGGCCCTGGTTTTGCGAAGGGCCTTTCTAAACTCAAAATAGTACAAACACGTGCAACGATTGCTTTTGTAATCTCTGCACGGTGCGGCCCTGTCTTTTAGATATTAAATGGTATTAATTAAAATAGTACGCGTTTGTCTATATGTACAGGGTGCAGCATTTAAGACTCCCCCTGATCATAATTTCTTTACTATAAAAGATACCGAAAAAGTCTTAGAGCAAAATTGTACGCAATTACCGCTGGCACGGCATGTTTCTAAAATATTTTCGATCACCAGGGGCGTGCTGTATTCCAGTGGCGTATCAAACTTGCATTTTTTTTAATGCAACACCCCATATTTTATTACTGATTTGGAAAGTACTTGAAAAGGACTTATCTAACATGTTATACCCCTAACTTTCACGATTTCCCTGTTATAATCTTTTTTGTCAAAATTGGGAAGTTTTTCGAAGTTCTTTTTTAGAGAGACTAAATCGCGCTGGCAACTTTTGTTTCATCATGGCACACTTGGGCTCGGAAAAGAACAATTTGACGTTTCGACTTGGTTTTTCTCTGAAATTTTCTTGTGGAATGTGCGGTTTTGTTTATATCAGTGGAAAATTTGTAGTTTTTGCTTCTCAGAGGTACAATTTGTTTAGGGGAGTGCCATTTGAAATTTTTAAAAAACATGACATTTGGCGAAAGCCAATCAAAAATTTTATTTAAAGTACCTAAACGAATTATGTGACTGTGGAAGAGGTCTTAACCTGTGCCTCAATTAAAAAATTAGTCGCCTGCGCGATTTAGTTTCTCTAAAAAAAATTTCGAAAAATTGTAAAATTTTGACGAAAAAGGGTTGGAACAGCGAAATCGTTAAAGTTAGGGTATAACATGTTACTTAAATAATAAATACTTTTCAAGTACGTTCCAAATCAGTCATAAAATATGAGGTTTCCATTTAAAAAACTACAAGTTTGATATGCCACTGGAATACAGCACGCCCCTGCTGAGCAAAGATTTTAGAAACATGGCGACGGTAATTATGTACAATTTTGCTCTTAAGACTTTTTTCGGTATCTTTTATGGTAAACGAATTATGATCAGAGGGCCTCAGGATTAGGTGCTACACCCTGTATAGTGTATGTGCCGCTGTATAATGATACTACATTCGTTGCTAATTTTCCGTTGCCAACTTCACACAACAGCTATAAATCAGTGTTTGTTTATGTAGTTTAAAAATGTTTCGAACGCAACTTTGCCCAAAATGAATTTCGTGGAATTAATAAACGATCTAGAAGGGACATTAACATCTTCAAATTATGTGGAGCACCTTTGGTGTAAAATTCGCGAAGTGATACCTACAATTTCAATTTCATTAGAAGATGAAGAAGTATATCGGAACCATCTGCCACTGGATCTCACAAAGTTTCTAAAAAAGTCAGTCTTTAAACTGAGAGACATGAAGAATGTCTCACAGCCCGAAGTATGGAACGATTTAGATCCGAAGTATATAAGCACACTTGTGTACTTTGTGTTGGAACAAGAAGACGTGACCATGCAAAATGCGTTGTACGTGGCGAATATTTTTGTTTTGCTTAATGTAATACCGATGACCCAAAAACAGCACTTCTATAAGGTGACATATTTAAAAATACTAGAAATGCTGGGCGAATTCAACCGCTCCCAAGATTTAACGTGTAATAGCATTATATTTTTGATGGACGACTTTAAGACTATGTTAATGAACACGTGCATTCCAGAGGAGACTGTCATAGCGACTATTGCCGTTCTCCATTCGTATACATATTGTTGTAATGAAACGTTTAAAACATTTGATGTTGGTATGTATCGATTAGTATTTGTGTGGTTTTTAGATTAAATTTGTAGATATTTCCTTTGAGAATCTCGGATATTTAGCATTTGTAAGTTTGAAAGTGCTTGCAGAACAGCTCCAGCAGCAAAAAAATAATGACCGAAAGTTATTTCCGATCCTGTTGTGCTTGATGTCGTGCCTCAAATCCTCGTCTGTTAGGGACCGTAGCAGAAGTGTGAAAACGGCCCATTTGAACAATGTCCAACAGTTTTTAAAAGAAACTTTTGAGTTATTTCAGTCGAGAACTTTTTCCTTAATCACAGATGCTCTAAAAACTATATCTTTATCCAGAGAGTATGATAATTTTGATGTAAGTGGGTGGTATATGTATACAAAATAATACCCAATTTATTTCAGGATATAGCCAAAGTCTTGCAGCAGCTACCCTCGGATGTTAATCAAGTTTTCCAAACTTTTTTTGTGGAAACGTTGCTCTGTAATAAGGACGAATTTAAATTAAACCTGCTAAATTTGGTTATACCCATACTCAGACATCCTCCAGAATACGAGACCATTTCTAAACGAGTCGTTAAAGCGGAAGTGCTGTTGTATAATGTTATAATGCTATTTGCCGATAAAAATGAAGCAACTAGAGAAAATGCATTGAAGGTGGTTGCTGAATTTTCGGAGGACTCTTTAGGGCGGCGTGTTTTACGAGTAAGTTTTAGGGATAAGAATTCTATAGTAAAGTTGTATTATACAAATTTCTTTTGTTTGCACTGTTTTATTCTCCTCACCTCGTTTACACCAAGGTTGGGTGTAAGTTGTAAGAGAAAGAGATTTCCTTTTGCTTTACCAAACTGAAAGTACCATAAAAAAACAAGGTAAATGCTTATCCCATTTTGGTTGCTTGCCAGCATGTTGCTACAAGTGGACCTTGTTAGAACTCAGGTCTACCCTGGCTAACTAATCGCACGGATTAAAATCAAGTATTATTATTATTACTGTATTTTTGTCATAACTTTAGAATTTCTTTTTCATTTTGTTTATGTTATTGTGTACTCTATTCCTATTAATTTGTTGTTGTCCTGTGTTTGGAAAACGTTTTTTTCTGTTGAACAATAAATATATTATTATTATTATTATTATAACGTACCATGACAATTTAATATTCTGATGAACACATACTATTTATTCGTTACCATATAAACTGGAGGTCCTATTCTGTGATATAAAAAACAACTATCTCGTGTATTGCTTACGCTTAATACTTAACAAGAAAACGGACGTGAATGATATATTTACTCGTCCAGTTACTTGTCGTGGTCTAAAACTAAATTACATAAGCTTAAAAAATGTGACAATAATATTATTACAAAAGTACTTGCTGAATAATCCTCTGTTTTTCAAATTAGTATATGGGCTCGTCCAAAAACATTATGGGACCTAACCTCATTTTTAAAATAGAACACTGTATATTTTAATACAAAAAGATTTAAAAATATAACACACTAGTGATGGTTTAAAAGTATACAAATGATTCAATAAAATGTAAAAAAAATTCAAAAAGATTTAAAAAAAGAATTAAAAAAATTTAAAAAAAGTTCAAGTGATTTCAAAAAATATCAACACCAAAATTTTGAATTTTTTTATTTTTTGAAAAATCTTTTTCAACCAATATTGAATTTTTTTAAAATTTCTTTACTGCAAAATATGGCGAAGAGAATTTAATTTGCCTTTAAAATAAAATATACAGGGTGTTCCACTAAAAACAATGAGATTAGGTGCATTAACTTTTTTACCTGATCCCGTGCAGATTATTCAACAATCATAATGAAACTTTTCTGTATATCTTTTATCTAAGGAAATCTAGAGTCATTCTGAAATTGTCAATGTAAAATTTTCAAATTTTGATTTTACCATTAATTTAAGTTTGACCCAAAAAGGGCATATAACGTCCTATAGTACTTTTTTGATGGCAGTAACAATTATGGACATACTTATTATACTTACAATAGCCAATTTCACGAGCAATTGCGATGTTAATTTGAAAAAACTTATCACTCTATCGTTATTTCAGGTTCTTCTCAGTTCTCTTTGTTTATAACAAGTATTTCGGGTGGAATATAATCGTAATGAATCACTACTTTAGATAGATTACGTTTTAGCAAAGATCGCCATTTTTTATTAGGTTAGATGTATGATTGAAAAAGCGTAGTGTGTGTTAGGCCGTTGGTAAACCGTATAGCACGCTTCATAATTTCGGGTGAGCGGTTGATTTATAATTGGTATAAAGTCTGTGTTTTGTGACCGAAACCGTTTAATGCTGCAGAATTTCGAGCGAGCGTTTTATTTATTGGTAAAAACTTGTGTTTTGGGAACGGAACCATATAACACGCTTCATAATTTCGGGCGAGCGGTTGATTTATGCCGATCTCGCTTTCGGCTCGCTCGGCATTGGTATAAACTCTGTGTTTTGTGACGGAAACCGTTTAACGCTCCAGAATTTCGAGCGAGCGGTTTATTTATTTCTATGAAATTTTCACAAAAATAGCTCCGCGACCTTGTCTTGGAGTTCTGTGATACCCTGAGAAACCTTATGATGCTTTTTTTATGTGAAATTTTAATAAAAACTATTATGTTCTTTATTGTCTGCATTTACCAAGTAAGTAACTAGGCGAACTTGCTCCATTATTTTGCTTACAATCTATCTCTTCTAACGTCAATAAGAACGCATTCGTTAACAAAATTTCTAATCGCCCCCGACCAGATGTCCCTAGATTTTAACACGCAATTTTACGTTTTACAATTTAATACACAAATTTAAATAAATAATTTACAAAAGCGATAAACTATAAACCAAAAAAAATACGCAATTAAAAACAATTCTAAAAGGAAAAATAGCCACTGAGATAACAAATTCAAGTAAAATAAACTTCTTCGTAGATAATCCCTCTGCACTTTTTTTTTACATTATGCCCATATATGTCCACTTTTATTTATTTATTTATTTGCATTTTGCAACAGGTTACTTGTACTGAAATAAATAGCTATAAATAGTATATCGTTTGAATCGTTGAGGTGAGGTCTTTTTATTAGTGTCAACTATGATTTCAATTAACACAAATAAAAATTATGTGCCATAACTAGTAAATATAATTTGATATGAAAAATTCGGTTGCACTCTGCACATTATTTTACAGGAAATTTGTTGCTTTAACTAGTTTTCCTGAAATCCATGTGTAACAATTGAAAGAAACATGAAAAGAAAAATCGTTTTTGCGAGATATTTACTTAGTCGTATAATTTCCACAAAAAAACAAACAAATAGTACCTACAGTGTGTCCTATTTTGGTTGACACTGCAGTGTATCTCAACTGTTTTTAAAGATAGAGCCGTGCGGTTTTCGCGACCATATGCCACTTTTTTGTGAAACTTTTAATACTACAAAGAGAATCTTTAACTACGTTTGTTTCTGAGATACAGGGCGAAAACGAAAAGCTTAACTTTTTGAGATGTTATCACATCTTACTATCCATGTTTGAAAAAGGTAAAATCTGCCTATTATAGATATTTTTATGTAGAATCCAGTGGCGTAGTAGAAAAAAATGTTGGGCCACTTTTTCTGAGATTTGACCCAAAGTTTGTATTTTTTAAATGCAACACTGTATATTTTAACGTCAATTTTTTTGCGTTCATTTTCCTGATTCTATTAATGTACAATCTATCTATCATGAGTATCTTTGGAAACCATAGAACATACCACGATGGTTAAATTGCAGAAAAGATGCGATTGCGTACAGACAAAAAAAATAAAAAAAATCACTTTCTCATTATCACTTTATGAGCTCTACAAGATCGCATTGACAGATTTTCAATACAATGTTTCGTTTCGGAGATATCATCATCAACTTTATTTTTTTATATGGGCCAGAAAAAAAATACATACTGTATTGAGTAGTATTTTTTATTACGAATAGGTTTAGCGGGGCATTTGATCCGACACACTCCCCGAGCCCAGACAGATCAATTATTACAGCCAACAACTAATTGCATTACTTACCCAAATTTTATTATTTTAAGGTTTGATGACAAAATGGTGATGATATATCCGGAGTTCTACATGCATGTTCTTTTTTTTTAGAAATTAATGGCTTCCGATAATTATGGAGATGTAAATAAAGACTCTATACAAGACGTTTTATACAATCATATTGATCAAAATTGGAACAAAAAGAATGTGAACGTTTATTACATTCAACTTATCTGCAATTTGTTCATTATAAGACGAGATTTGGTTACAATAAAAGGTTTGAATGTAAGTAAAAGGTGTTAATTTACGTTGTATTTATACTATCAACTAATAATCAAGTATTAATAAACCACCACATTCTCTTATAATTTTTTTAGTTGTTAGTTGATCGTGTAAACTTCTTATTTCTTCAAGCAGAATCTGACTTTGTAATCTATAATTGGTTTTCGTAATTTGAGAAAAAGGTCTTTTTCAGAGATTAAGAAACATCTGCCTAAATGGATCTCCGTATGATCTAAAGCCGTGCATAATTTATTTTAAACGTCTACTTGAGTACCATTCCTGTGATAATAATGTAGTATTGTATATCTTAAGTATATTTGTAAAACAAATGTTCCATTCCATGGCAACATCCACACTATTTGCGAAGGTACGTTATAAACATTTTGTCCTTTGTAAAGTAAATGCTAATTTAAAGGAATTACACGCACAAATTTTTTCGAATATTACTGTAAGTGACCACAGTTTTGTATGGAATATCGTTAATTATTTGGTATCTCATAATTTTGACGTGCTGTCTATTTTTGAGAGGTTTCATTCTTTGCAACTACTGAGGTAGGTATGCACAAAGATAGGGAGGTTATTGAGGAAACGAGAAAATTAATTAAATGAGTCACTGTACGACTTTTGTCAACTACTGTCATACTATACTGTATTCATTTTAAGAAGGTAGCGGTAGAAAGCATAGGGAAGCTTTGACCTTCACTGTGATTGGTTAAAACACGAGTCAGTGAAACATAAAACGACTGGTGAATTTTGTAAGGGAGTAGTTTATGTTGCCAACTAAACTGCCACAGTGTCATTAGCTGTTATTGTCAAAGGTTTATTTCTGTTCGCAGTGCTGAATATTTCTACTTGACAATAATTTGGTGTCGTTTTATATTTTTCCTGTGTGTGTTTATCTTCAAACGCAGCGCCATCTACTACCTTCTTATAATGAATGCAGTTAAATAATGTTGGTTTTTTGCCAGTTTTGACTCCTAACGCTGGTTACATAAATTCTCCATTGCAATTGATGAGGATTTACAACTACATTTAACCAATTGTCTCGTTTCACTAAATACTAAAATTACTGTGTGCATGCTTTGTTAAATCTTGCAGCCAAAATACAATCAGGATTTTAATGGAATATAAAATTCACGAGGGGCAGTCGAGAACACCCGCATTAAAGCTGTTATGCGTTATGTTAAACTTTATACCTTACGATAATTGTCATTTGTTGGAGGAAATTTTAGAAGATTGGTTAATTGTGAGTATTACCTAAGAAGTAATGTATTTTAGGTCCTGCTTTCACATCTGAATCATATTTTACATAAATTATTTAGAAATTTGTTGTCTTATTTATCAGTTTTATATATTAAAAGATTCTTCTTTGTAGAGTGGCACCCGACCAATGCAACAAAGAAGACCACATAAACGAAATGTGGGTTAATGTATACAAATTTTCTAGAAGACGCAAAATTTAGTACAGAGTCAACTTTGAATTTAATGATAACATAAAGTTGGCTATCTCTCTTCGTCAACTTAATTACTACTAATCTATAATGTAGACTACCGACTGAGGCACGGCTCTTTTACGTATGTCCGAAACTAAATAATCTGGTTGTAGTGGCATTTTAATGTTCTTAATTATTGTTCATTAAACTTCTCTAAGGATGACTGTATAACCCCATAATTATGCAGGACGTTCCAAATATTCTCACTAGCCCAGTCAATCTATGTTAAATAAAAATAAAAAAACTTCTAGTTTTGAAATTAGTCAAGCATGTTCTTTGGACCTTCCTTTTGAACACATCCGAAAATCCCGTATGTGGAGGGTGCGCAACAGGACGCCATTTTGGATTTTATGCCACTTTTTGGGTTTCTCGAAAACCATCAACTTCTTCATAACCACTTATACAGGGTGCTGCAACAGTGCGTAGGTCTTTCCTAGCTCATACCTGGTAAAAAATTTCAAAAAATCTTTTGGGCGAATGTCAACTATAGATGGTTGCGTATCTACAGAAATTATCGTTGAATGTACAGGGTGTCCAATTTTTACGGTGTCAATACACAGCGGATTTTTTTTAATGGAACACCCTATATATTTTTAGCTGATTCGATGTCATTTTTTAGCCTCTGCATGGAAACCTATTCACTATTTGGTTTTTTGTCAATGTTGCCAAATTATTAATTTTTTTCGAATAATTCTCTATAAACATTGTTTAAAAATTAAACAATGCTATAAGCCACCCCTACTTTGATAAATCGTAGGGGATTTTAAAGGTATTCCTTAACTTTAAAATCAATAATGTGAATCTGAATAAAAGGCAACACTTTGTTAATGAGAAAGTTGCATTTAGTGATACAGGGTGTTCACAAAAAAATAGTAAAGTTTCTCTATTTCATAGTCTTTTGTGTGCTCTGTCCTGTGCCAATCTTTTCCCAAAAATAGTTACACATTAATTAATTACATGTTTATAAACAGGAGTAGGCGGTGATAATAAAAAACCAAAGAATTTATGATTTGCTGCAAGTGTACTCTTTATTTCGTAGTAAAATAAGATTATTTAAAAAGACTAGTTCATCTTTTTCGAAATTCGCCTTTTTAATTAATCTTATTTTACTACGAAATAGGGAGTACACTTGCTTATTTGTGACACTTGCATTTTTTCTGACATTCTTTTGTTTTTTATTATCACGGTACACGGTCTACACCGGTTTATAAACATGTAATTGATTAATGTGAAAAGTATCGAGTAACCTAAAAACTACGGGGACATCCCTTATAACAATCGGAACATAAAAGACTATCGAATAGAGAAATAAAATAATGGTAGTTGCCTTTGAAAAAAAATAGTTATGACACTTTGACATTTGGAAACTTATTTTTTTGTAAATACCAGATTGACGTTATTGATTAAATGTATTTCTTAACTTTAAAATCAAGGTCGCTACGATTTATCAGAGTGGGACTTGCCTATGGCCAATTATTCAGAAAAAAAAAATATACAGGGTGATTCCTATAGTACCTGCCACCGTTTGGGAGCGTATAGGGGGTGCCTAGGGGAGTATTTTGATATAGGACACTTGGGGTCGGAAATCTAAAATAAGGGCGCCAGAACCAAATTTATCTTCTGGAATTTCACGCCTGTATGTAGGCAACCCAACCGACCGACGTTTCGCGCGGAGCGATGCAGAGCGAGTTAGCGCGAGGAAGCGACATGGGAGGGAAGGAGGGAAAACGACAGTCAAAAGCAATAACGTTTACAAGTGTTCAACGTGGCCACCGTTGTTCTCAATGCACTTCCTACATCTAGCCAACTATTATTATACTATTGCCATAGTGTTTATTCACTTGATACGCGTCGTTGCAGACGGGATTTCGTGGGTTTAAACAAAATTCTGATCAAGTGTCAGCCACACATCGCCGCCTGAGATCGCTCCGTGTGCACCGCCGGCCGGTTGGGTTGCCTACCTACAGGCGCGAAATTCCAGAAGGTAAATTTGGCTCTGGCACCCTTATTTTAGATTTCCGACCCCAAGTGTCCTATATCAAAATACTCCCCTACGCACCACCTACACGCTCCCAAACGGTGGCAGGTACTATAGGAATCACCCTGTATTTGTTGTATAAATTGTTGAATTACAAAAAATATGTAAAAGATAAATATGGACATGCTTATATTGTTAAAAAGGTAATAAAATCCTACATTTAATGCGATAAAAAAACTTGGTAGTTCCATTTAAAAAGATCAAGTTACCTTTGATTGAAATTTTGATAATTGACGGAGTGATTTCTTTTAACACAAAAGAATTTTAACTTTAGTCGTTTGGCGTATGTTAATACATTTCATGATTAGTACCACTGCAAAGTCACGGCCTTCTAAGTTTTATGGTAACTGCGATATTCAATTTTTACTGGGCATCTACTTTTTGACAAAACGACAAATTGCGGCTATACGACTCATTTTAGATATGTTTAATACATAAAGTCACACTAAAATTGACCAAGGAATCCAAATATGTAATAATATACAGGGGGTTCCATTAAAAAAAATGCAACTGTGATATAAATCTCCCTGTATAACAATTGCAATTTCGGTGAAAATATTTTTAGGTTGTAGCCCTAAGGTCCTTTCAACATTCCCCCGCAATGAATTTTAAGTATGCGCGTTAATAAACCCACAATCTTCCACCCACACACTAATGGCGCCCACCCTGTATAGGGTGAATAAAAAGTTGTTAATAAAAGTTGAATGACTACATATTTGCCACAACCTAACGGTTTTCAATTTTTTTCTGACGTCATAGTTTCAGAATGTGATGTCATGGCAAAGAATTTTAAATGGCACCCTAAATTTTTTTCGGCGATGTGAGATAGTATTTTGTTTATTGTTTTCTCTCGCATGTGTGTACTTAAAAGAAAAGCAAATTATTTCATTAATTACAATATTTAATAATTTTAATTTACTAAAATTTGTTAATATAAACCACACTTTTAAAGTGACCCCACAAGAAAAAATCCAACGGATTCAGATTCGGATTTTTTTGCATGGACGTAAAGAGAAAACAAAATACTATCTAACATTGGCGAAAAAAATTTAAAAACGATGACATACCCTTCTGAAACTATGACGTCAGAAAAGAAATTGAAAATCGCCAAATTGTGGCAAATATTTAATCATTCAATTTTTATTAGTTTAACTTTTTTTTATATGACCAAAATAACGGCTCCAGCATCAGTGCTCCTTAATTTTTATTCATCCTGTACACCTCCCAAATGGTTAAAACTTTTTGTACATTTTTTGTAGGAAATTTAATGAGCTTTCATTTTCTGAATGTGCGTGGTTATGAAAAGGTTGATAGTTTCCGAGATATTGAGGAAAAACTGACAAAAGTGGCCTAAAATCCAAAATGGCGGCCTGTTGCCCCCCATCCCCACATATGGGGTTTCTGTATATGTTCAAGAGGAAGGTCCAAAGAACATTTTACGCCCAATTTTTAGTTTTATTTGGGGATTTTTGGTGATGATAGCCCGAGCTACACTTAAAACCGGAAATCGATCAAGTCCTTGTTTTTGGAAAACTATTTTTTTAAGTTCCTGGTCTCAATTTCAGTTATAATCAGGTGATGGGATCGCATGTGATTAATTTTATCTTCCTGATTTGGTGTTGGGATGTGGACAAGTAGAGGAGTAGTAGGTATAAACTATTGCATCAAGCAAGCACAAATTCCTAAACATAAGAATAGCAATAACATTGGTTTTGTACAATACAGTACAATGATATGGGGAAAAGTGGCAACCACAAGATGCTTTCTGTGAAAAAAACAACTGCATCAATGTTTGTTAACATATTTAGATTCAAAAAACAATATAAACCAAAGCATAGCTGTTTCGGAAACTGCCATATTATAAATTCTAACTTCCAGCTACACTTTTAATTGCTCATTTATAAGCGGTAGTATTACAGAATGGTCTTTCTACTATGTAGTTTAAACTGTCTATTCTTATTAATTTTAGTAACATATTATCAAAATAACGTATTTAGTTTGAAAATAACTTTATGTTATCATTTTATTCAATCATTGAAGAAGAATCTTAAATAAGCTTGATCCTTATTGTGGATAAGTAATATTTTCCCTATTTGCTATGTAGTGTTGTTTAGCTTGAACATTTCTCAAATTTGGTACCTAATGCAGTCTTAATGATAAACTTTTAATTTTTTAGGGTAATCACTTAAATATATCCCCTACAGATCTATGTTTTGTATTATGTGCATTGACAAAAATAATGCAAACAAAGAGACGTTGCGACTGCACCCAATCGGAATTGGACAATTATCGTCAAATGCATTACCTTACATCCCAGGCATTTTTTGAACAAGTGTTCCCTATTGTTTGTGTGAATTACGCAATCACCCTTCTCGCTGTGTATTCAGACTTAATTAATGAAGATGTTGCTTGGGATAGATTGGGTTGTACAGTAAGTATTTAAAAAGTTACCCGCTATAAATTTCAAAATACGAATTTCAAGCAATTTGAAGAGACCTTAGTAACAAAGCTGAACGAAGTGTATGGTTGTAGCTTGCAACATCACACATACTTACTTAGGGATGTTGCATATTTGGGAGATTTGATTATTTTGCGCAAGGTAAAGTTAAGCGACAACGCTTTCAGCGTACTGAGAAAAATTGCGACTGCTGCTGAACATACAAAGGAATTTACAGGTAAATTGGTATGTTTCTGAACTTTGACGAAAACCTTTATTTTAGATTATCTAAAAACCCATTCGGAAATCTGGAATACATGTTTGTTGTTGTATATAAAGGCCTGTTTTATCAATACACAATTAAGTGAAGTGTGCGTCCAAAACTTGGAGTACATTTTGTCTACAAAATTAATCGAAGAGTACTCAAAACTGCAACTTGTATATGCTCTTTATGATATTTGTTCTACGTAAGTAGATCACCTCTTACCGGTGCTTCTTCTAATAATGTTTTTAGTCATTTTCAGTACTATGATCCTCTAGTTCCTTTCCTGTTTGAGTGTTTAAATGACACAAATGCTTATATAAGGTTCATTTGTTCTAAGATCATAATGAGACTCATTAATGAAGAACAGTTGCGGTTAATGGATGGCAATTACTTTATATTTATGAGTCTTTTAGCCGACGCAAAAGATATTGTTTCACAAAATGTCGAAACATTTATCAAAGAATCTTATATAAAGAAGAATTACCAAACAGTTGCAGGTCAATACGTGGCTTGCCTTGTACATTATAATTTTTGTTATGTGAGTATTTCCTTGTTTTATCTCATGGTATGCGAATGTTGTGATTATTTTGTTCACAACCTTCTTAAAGCGAAATAATTTGAGACGTTCACATCATTTGTAAAAACGAACGTATTCAGGGAACAAAATAAAAATTATATTGGTTGGCCATTGCAGCCAAGTTTGGTGGGTTTTGGGCAGAGCTTGGGAAAGCGTGGGTAGTCGTGGTTGTCTAAACTCAATTTGATCGTGGTTGTTGTCAAAACTAACTAGGTTCTTGCCTGAACTAATGTCATTGAAGGTCATAGTGCTTGTTGTCAAAACTAACGAAGGTTATTGCCTGAACTAATGTCACCAAAGGTAATCGTGGTTGTTGTCTAAACTAAAAATTCACTGAAGGTCACGTGATTCTTTCCTGAACTAAAGCGATTTTATTGATTGCGATTTTGGGAACTGAGATATGATTATCGGGCATTCTTGAGATTTGTGTTTAGGTCATCTTTGCTCTTGATATTGATAGGTTAACAAGTGTGAAATCCTGGTTTCTTATGTGACAAAAGATTTTTATCGACCTAACTTAATCTCGAATTTAACCAAAGACAGATTGCATAAAATCTTGGTTCTTATTTTATTCTCTCTAATTGCATATGGTTTTATTTCTTTTCTTCTTTATTTAATGTATATAGTAAAATAATACTTGCACTACTCAAAACAACAAACTATCAATGCATTAAAGATAACTAGATCTAATTAATTAAGGTTAAATTAAGTTTAAAGCTTGAGAATTGTCCAGTAATCAGAATTTTTTAATATTATTTGTGATTATGAACGGACACTGTCCCTAATGTTTTGGATTACACAGCAGTAGGTATCATTGGAACAATTTGAGGTTGTATTGTGCTGCGTTTGCTTGGATAAAACGTCATTTATATTACTTTTATGGGGATATTAAAAAGTGTATACTTCCCAAATTCATGCACATTGTCAAGGGAACGTTCCACAAAAAATAATAACTGAAAGTTGGTAGAAAGAAAGAGAGCTTCGTTCAGTAGACCAGATATTTCGGACCCCTATCGCTGTCCTTCTTCAGTGGATTCAAAAGGGTACTAAACGCGTCCGGTAGTTAAAAATGATTGGATTGACCAAAACGGTAGGCGTGGTTAATTCAATCATTTTTTAACTACTGGACATGTTTAGTACAAAAATTTTGGGCCCTAGGCATACTTTGATGACATCCTCAATTTACAATAAAAACAAAAAAATCAAAGTGGGCCTAGGACATTGAAATTCTGTTTCTGTTTTAGTCAGTTTTTCATTCTGAACAACTTTTCTAAATAACCTTTGTGCATATCTCGTCCTCAAAGAGCACTTATGCACGGTATGCAAAAAACTTTCATAGGCGCCCTTGATTTTTTGAAACTAAAATTATGTCATGAATTAGTTTCCAATCAAGCAGGGCTGATCCATAGAAGCTCAAAATTACATTCCAAAATTTTTTGTCTTACAAGAGACGACAAAACACACTGTATATACCAGTACACCAAATGCACAACATAAGATGAACTTGAAATGTGAATAATAAAATATACTATTTTTAGACTCACCCTGTTGTATCTTTATCAAAAAATGACTGCAATATATTAAAAAGCAAAAATTACTCATCTTCCGATCGGCACGAAATATATTATTGCCTTTATCAATATTTACCAGACAATACAAAACTAAATGTTTTGAATGTGATCTCTACTGAAATATTGGGTAAGTTAAATTTGCCATTTTTTCGAAATAGGGTATTAATGCAAATTTGTAGGAAGAATTTTGAACGAAAGTCTTCCACATTCGCCAGAAACTATGAGAATATTAGAAGACGCTCTCAGCACAATTTTGTACATGGTTCCAAAGAGTTCAATACCGACCATAGGTGAGGGAACAAGCTTCTATGATGACGAAGTTAAATACATACATAATCATTTAATGATCCCTCTTCCAAAGAGTCAAGAATATAGACATAAGGTAAATAGTCGCATGTCTTTTTGAAAACTAAATTCGCCATTTTAGGAGAAAAATTCTACCTTAAAATCTCTGTGCAAGCTTCTACTTCAGATTTTCTATAGTAAACTCAAAGAAGATCCGAAAGTTTGTCAAAACATTCTATTCACCATTTCCGTATTACGAAACACATTTGAACTCAATGTACGCAATTTTTCTGTGTCACAAGATAAAGTTTCCCTATTTTAGATTCGACATATTATAAGTGAAGATACCGAGCTTAAAGATTTGTTCGAATCTTTGAAGAAGTTCTATCAGAAACATCGCCAACAATTTCAGTATTTGGCATTGTCAATTGGCCCTAAAAATTGGCTTAAGTCGTTTGGAAAAGAAGACGTCGTATTTTATTGGCAAAATATGCCTGATTTCACTTATATTCCTCCTTGCAAAATTCTGCGAGGAGGTAATTTACAGTGAACGGTGAACAGTTATAATTAAAAAATAATTTGCGTAATTTTATTTTTTTGTGTAGATACCTATAATAGTGATCCCTTAGTTTTTCAAAAGCTTAGCTTCTTTTCTTTTATCAGGACGTTGTGTAACAGATAAGGGATTTGCTACTTCGTAGATGATGGTTCTTATATTATCACTGTACTGTAGGTATGTCCTATTTTGGTTGAGACTACGGAGTATTTCAGTTGTTTTTAACTCGCGATTTTCGCGACCCTGTACCACTTTTTGGTGAAACTTGATACCACAAACAGTCGATCGTTTTTTGAGATACAGGGTGAAAACGAAAAGTTTGACTGTTTGGGATGTTATCGTTACTACCCATGTAAGATAGAAAAAAAGGTGAAAACTGCCCATTCTAGGTAGATATTTTTACGTAGAATCCAGTGGCGTAATAGAAATAATTTTTTGGACCACGGTTTCCGAAATTTGATCCAAACTTTTTTAATGCAACACTGTATATCGTAACATAACAATTTTGTTGGTTTTCCCTTGCCTTGTGCAGTTTTATTTTATTTCGTATTGTGGAAAGCGATTGTAAAATAAAAGAATATAATAATAATATTCGCCAATTACAAATACAATAATTATTGTATTTGCAATTGTCGAATAATAAACATCGTTTTGAACCAGCAAAACACTACTGATTACAGTTGTAATGAGTATATTGATTGTTCTCGTTCTTGCTCGTATATTGTTTAATTCCTCGCTTCAAGATAGCCGTCCAGGTATTGCAGTCACGCCAGACCATTACGAAGATACTAGCAAACAAAAACATTTCTTCCTCTTGTCAATATCACCAGAACTTCTATCCAACATACGATGAATTCGAGGCTTCTTCTTCACAAGGATTAGGAAGTTGCAAGAGTTTACTTCATCACTAGCAGTAGTGTCAACGAATACGCATCAACATTAAGGTCAGATCATTTCCTTTTTTTACATTATTTCCTTATCACACTTACCTACCTGTCTTTACCATGCCGAATAAAAAAGAACAATTTTCAGTAGCCAAGCACAAATCTAATTGAAGATTTGCAGCGATTAAAAAACAAACTCTTATATTTAAACAAACAATTTACCATTTTACAAAATTACTTAGACGAGCCAGATTCTTACAGTTGTAAGAATAAGGTTCAGAAACAATTTGAAGTTTGCGATAGGGCTTATTGATTCTTTTGAATCATTTTTGGAAAGCAGATTCGATGCTGACCATGATGATTTGTATGAGGATTTTTTTCCGAGAGACGGAAGAGACGGTTGGCCCCCTATTAATTTGGCATCATTCTCGGGAAAATACGAAGAATGGTTACGTTTCCGCGACTCCTTACGGTTAAAGAAAGGCATTTATGCCATAACTGCTTAAGAGTAGGCCACAAATCAAAAGAGTGTAAAACTTCCCGGTGCAAAAAATGCCATGGTGCTCACAGTACACCTAAACACTAACATCAGGGCCGTAGCCAAATGGGGGGGGGGGCCTCCCCTCTCATCTTATGCTTATGTTTTATTCTGTCCTATTTTAAAACTGCTGAAACAAATGAGTAATAATAATAATAATAAGGTGATATCTTGGTAACACCTTTGGACTCTATTTGTTTTAGCCGTTTTACAGTTTTTTTAACCTAATAGCACAGAGTGCACTTAACATCTTTATTGTCTTCAACGCTTGAAGTTATACTTACCGTGAGTAGCGCAATTACTTACACTGTTCACTTTTGATTTTTTTTACTTTTTTTTTAAATTACACTGATAGCAGTGATAGAAAGTTATTCAAAGCGAAGTGTGTCAAAGAATGATGTACCTACCTATATATCCCCTACTCCTACGATGATTCTTTAACTTGTCCTTATTGCTGGTTTCATAATTACACTGATCACATTTAAAATTCTTGAAAGTAATGTGATAAAATGGACGTTTTAAACTATCCTTTGCATTGATTGCAAATTAAATCTTTTTTACTTTTACAGTCAAAAAATTACAATATTGATTACTTTTGGCCATTGTAAATAAACAAAATGGCGATCTTATACCATCTATAATAATTACAATGTGCTGCCACCAGAGGTCTCACTGTTAAATCTGAATCACGAATCCAATAAGAGTCAAACCAATCACAATTAGCCAGTACAGTGCATTTCTCAGTAGGCATTTTTCGAGTGCAAGTTGGCATTTTTGACACTTTCTATCTAATCTAGGTACTTACCTCCCAACTTGGTTTTATCAACATGCTTGTTACAGATCAAAGGTAATGATAATGACGTGATTTTTATAGATGCACGTGCAACCGATCAGGTGTAGGTAGATTTCTATAAAAGGGTTCGCCATTTTGTTCCAATATGGCGGAATTGGCTGATTCACGAACTTGACCGAGATATTTAAGAGTTACACTAACCCTTAGACCCGGTTGACAATGTCAGTTTAAACCAGATTAGTTTCACTAACAGATTTCAGAAACATGATTGGCCAACTTTGGAAATATTAGCGAATCAAATCCTTTATCGCACAATTTTACTAAAACTGAAGCTTAAACTGATATTGTGCAACTGGGTCTTAAAGTTTGGTCGAAATCGGTTCATAATTACGAAAGTTAGAGTGTTTCTTGGAAGTGATATATCTCGGTAAATATCGACAAAGTTTTTCTATATGAAATTTCCTTTGAGATTTTATTTCCCATAATAAGGCAGCATTCCACTGTTTTTATTTCAGAAAACAAATGAATAACGAAAAACAATTGAATTTTTTTAAATAGCAATGCACACTTTCATTAGGCTCATTTGATAGAAATTTTTTTTCTCTTTTCAATGACTTAACACGTTAGAACCCGCGCAGAAGATATTAATTTTTATTTCAAGTTTGAAATGAAATGAAAATTAACCATTTTACTGCTACTTTCGTTTTGTCTTCAAGGTTTAATAAGAAACGTACATGTTCATTTGTTTTATTTTGATGTAGGGTATCTCAATTAATGTTATTGATCTAATTATAATACCTTTTTTTGAAAAATTTTCTTGAATAAGGGTACCAACGTGTTAGGTATCTTCGGAAAGAGAAAAAATTCTTATCAAATGAGTCCAATGAAAAGGTGCACTGCCATGTAAAAAAATTCAATTGTTTTTCGTTAGTCAGTTGTTTTCTGAATTCAAAACAACTGAATAAATAAAATGTTAAAATTTCATATAGAAAAATGTTGTATATACATTCGATATTTACCGAGATATATAATATTCCTACATAATGGGCACCCTATATAAACCTATAGACCTAGTAAATGTACTGGTACCATTACAATAAGTGGAAGAAATCTACCTAAAACTACAAAAAGTCCATTACAGTTTCCTAGTGAGTTTCTTAGTTTTTGAGAAATTTTAAATTACAAAGTTTATTTGGTAATTTTTTTTAATTTCCATTTTTTTCGAAAAGTAAGCACCATAGCGAAAAATGTTAAATACAAAAAAAGAGTGTTTTGATGAGCTGTAGAAAAAATCTCATACACTTTTTGCGTCGGGTTCAAAATAAGTAAAGGCACCCAAGACACATACCTATTCGGAAAGTCGGAAGTTTTGTTAAAATTTGACATATTTGACTGCTCCTCCCATCAGCCTTAAGCCACGGGATCTCGCTGGCAGACATGACGAGTTCCACTTGACTATACAGGGTGGTGACTTGCGTAACGCATTATAGGGATTTCAATGTAAAATTCATAACATGCGATTATTGGCTCCCTAAATTATTTTAGAGCAAAAATGTATTAAAGTTTTGTATAGAAAAATTTTTTTTACGCCAAACCACCGTATTAGTTTTCAATTTTTTTCATATAAAGACGGAAAATGGAAAAATAAAACCCCCATCTTTTTCAAGAATCTGCGATGCCATGGAATTTTCCAAAACAAAAAGATATCCAGTTAATTAGCAGCAGTTCGAAATGGATTTATGATCGACTTGGTTACCGTCTTGCAGTTAATGGTGACTTATTCGAACATTTATTGTAAATTGTTACATTAGGAAACCGTTTTTAGTAATTTGGTATTTCTTTATGTTGAATTCGCTGTTCTAAATATAATAATTTTTGATAGAATTTGATTTGTTTTATAGCAGACATTCCATGGCATGACGGATATTGGCGTAGTTTTTGTATTATAAAATTCCATGGCATCACAGATTATTGAAAAAGATGGGGTTTTTATTTTTCGAATTTTTCGTATTTATTATGCAAAAAATTGATAACTAATACGGTTGATTGGCGTAAAAAAAATTTCCTACAAAAAACTAATACATTTTTGCCATAAAATAATTTGGGGAGCCAGTATCCGCATGTTATGAATTTTACATTGAAATCCCTATGATGCGTTACGCAAGTCACCACCCTGTATATCAGAATCAGCCATGTAATGATAACTAACATTTTCCTGTAGCCCAGCTCTTAGACTTGGGCTATAGTATGTAACAGAACAGATAATTAAGTGGTAGTTGTACTTTTGGATAAAGGGTTGTACCATGTAAGTCTGTTGTGCATCTAATCGTCAAAACCAACCAATTATTATTTACGTACAGAAAATCAATGATACAGATTCGATGGGGACTTACGTCGCTTAAATTTGAATTTATTTGCTGAGAAAGAGTCGTACAGGACTAAAATCTACTAACACATACATTATACTTTTGCTTATAGTTGGTCCATTTCTAATAATAATGATAATATCTAATAATAACATACTAAAAATACAAAGTTCACCCTTTTGTTTGCGAATATTAATATTACCTAACTGGACGAGGACAATAACGAGCGAATTGTTTTGTTGTTTGTTCTGGTTTTACAGCCCTTTACAAAATTCCTCGTTATTGTGCCTCACCTTGTATTAGTTGCACCATTGATTAAAATTGTTTTTATTCAATGGTAAGACGTAGACCAGGAACTTTACGCTAAATTCGTACTAAATCTAGAATTTTTCATGAATAGTATATGGGGGATTTCGGAATGTATAAAATACACGAAATAGGCTAAATTGGGAAAGATTTGCAGTTCATGTGCCTTACTGCTAGATATTTTGAAAAAAGTAATAATATCTAGCAAACCATGAATATGTTGGAAAAACAAATGGCGTAACGCAGGGCCGAATTAAGGTTTGTCCGGGCCCTAGGCACAATGAAATTTTCGGGCCCCTTTTCATAAATTATAATAACTCGTGTTCCAGCACAGTTGTGTACTTTTTCGCATATACGTTAAACCGTTCGTAGCTCCTTCTAAATATTGAAGTGGCGCCATTTTGAAAATATTTTAGTTCAATTCATCATGTGCCAAAACCTTTAAAGGACTTATCAGTTCAGCTTAATTTTCAAAGGTTTCCCATATCTTTCTAACTGACGCTCGTCAAGAATGACCCTGTATAGTGTAAAATTGTTGTGTTGTGTACTTTAAAATCTCACACGTTACGTTACGTGTCCTTAATTTTTCCGGGCCCCCATCCTTCCCGGGTCCTAGGCACCTGCCTAGTGTGCCTAATGGGTAATACGGCCCTGGCGTAACGTATATAAAACTGCAAATCTTCCCCATTTAACCGAATTTGCATCACCTTGTACTTTCCGAAATCGACTACTACCTATTCATAAAAAACTCACCCTGTATATAACATACATAAGTAATTACTTCACTTTATTTATATTTATCGAGATTCTATTTTTTTTGTGAGATAAAAATTGGCTTAGGTACTTTAAGAATATCGCTTCAGAAATCTTTTTCATATTTTTGAGATATCTGAATAGCCTGAAGTAGGTAGCCGGTTTCAGATAAAACTTTGTACGTTCTACTCTGGTTCTACCCAACATTAAGGTACCCCGACGCACCCCGGTACCGGTTACACGTGTATTGTCTAAAACACTATCCTTACTACGTATTTTTTCAGATCACTAAAACACTCATTCCTTAATCATTCAACTCATTGGGTGAGATCATCGCGCGGTGGACCTCCGCACAAAATCGTAGTTGTAGTTATAATAGTAATAAGAAAAAACACGGCTAGTAGTAATCTATCTAGTACAAGTGATGCTTGTTTCCATTCCATCTCTGTTAGTTCTCTTCTATCTTGTTCGGCAAGTCTTTGCTCGTTACGATCAATACTCGCATGGACCTTATGTAAAATTCGTATGATTTGGTTTTCGAAGTAATCTGGAACGAAAAGGAACCTTCATAAAATTGAGAACACGCCATAGATATCAACTGACCTATATGATCCACTCTATCTCTTGTTAAAAATCTTGGGGATCTCTGTTGAAAGCAGCAATCATCCTTTTGTGAGCCCTTGTCGGTCCATGACCACTGGCAGTCTAGTCGATTTCCGGTTTGTGGATTAACTTCCTGCAACAGTGATTGTGCAATCAGTATAATACAGTTCTCCATTGCGAAAACACGCTGTACACGATAATTTACGTTTCCTTGCTTTTTGTTTCAGAAGAGATCTTTCCACCGTTAGTATACATACTTCTTTTTGAGTCATCCTACTAGACTAGGGTGTATGATAACGTTGCAAATAAACTAATATTAATCGATGAAATTGAACTACTAAGTAAAATACAAATAGGTCATATTATAGGGTTTAATGAAATTTATTTCTACAATTCCTCCATTTTGTTTCTTGAATTGAAGTAATTTATTGGTTGATAAACTTACCTGCATTTGGGAATTTCTATGGCGGGCATTGTTGGTTTCTAATCTCATAAATACAATGTGCGATAATCGCTCCAAAACAACTTTTCGAATAATTTTTGGGACTGCTGCACCTCTGACTCCTCTGTGGTATATATTCAAAGTCACCACCGATAAGCCGGAAGCGAAGGAGACTAGACAGATGCTCACCCCGTAATATAAACCTGGAAGTAATAAATAAATAAATCATTTCCGTCACAAACGAAGCTTTGGTGACGGTGGTATGATTTCCCATGTAAACAAAAATTTTAAAGGTCAATCATTTTTGATCGCAATGTATAGTAATGTATGGTAATTATTCATTTATAACACTGGTTCATTTCCCTACAACCCACATCTTAATTATGATCATGATCATCTTCATTTACCACACTTCCCTGGTAGATCGATGTGGAGAAAATTCATTTCCAAAGTATCGAAAAAAGGTTAGGTACTTATGAGAATGTATCTACACCAGTGTTTCTCAAACTTTTTATCTGGCGGCACACTAAAATTATTAAACAAAATTCGCGGAACCCCTAGTATTATTTTTTTACTTTTTTACAGTTAGTAAAGATGTGAAGGATGAGAAGTCTTTACAAAAAAAATTTCTAAACACAAAAGCATTTAAATCTAGTTGTCAGGTAAACTCCTGACTTGACTTTCCGACTATTAATAGTCATTGCAATTATCTTTGGCCATAGTATAACATTTAGAAAATGCCCTCTAGCGCCTTTATTTTGAACCCGACGGAAAAAGTGTAGAAGCCTTTTTTTGTAAATCTCATCAAGACACATCTTTTTTGTAATTGACATTTTTCACTCTGATGCTTACTTTTAGAGAAAAATAAAATAAAAACTTTTAACTCTTCAATTCAAAACTTCTCAAAAACAAAGGAACTCATAACAAAATTGTAATGAACTTTTTTGTAGAGTTTTTTAAGCCATTTTCGCCAGTAAAAGCCGTTATGACTCTTTTAAAATTTTGACACCCTCAACAACCTTGAAGATGGTTACGGATCAAAACCAAAACAGGACGTTTTCGATTCCCCATACCACCCTATATGCACCCCAAATATAAGTTATAAGATTGAGAAAGTCTGATGTAATGCAATACCAGCATATGATTGATTAATCAATTATGAACCATAGCAATAAATAAAATAGAAACTAAAAAACAGAATTGTCTTAAAAAACGAATATTCATTTTTTATAATTATTTTAATTACTTTTTTAATATATGTAGTTTTAAGCTTATTAAGTAAATATTCAAAAATTTCGCGGCACCCTTATGAAGTGCTTGCGGCACCCACTTTGAGAACCACTGATCTACACAATCAAGGTTATTTGGAACCTTTTTTCGTCTTAAAGAACTTTATATTAACGCATATTTAAGTTAAAATTTAAAAGACTAACGAAAAAAGGGCCATTTTTATAAAGACCGGTATAGTTATTCTTTGGCACCGCCCCCCCTTTTTTTTCAAAGATTTTACTTAAAACCACTAAATGCATGCGTATGCAAATTCTGAGACCAGTTGGTTATCGCATACCTATGTGTTACATTCAAAAACAGCACCCTAAGAAATAATTCACGGGGGGGGGGGGGGGCTTCAGGTAGTGAAGTTTGATGACCGTCTGGCACACAATGCCCTGAAAAACATAGATACTGCTGTGACCCTTACATTTCGGGCCACATATAAAACACCTCAAACTTAACTAGCTTAATGAAGTTTCTCTTAGTACACTTCCGCACCCCGGAATAACGAAAATAATTCAAATCTGACTTAAATTCCTGATTCCAAGCAAACAGTGGTCAAGATCAAACTCCTTAAACTCCAAAAATGCCTTTACCAAATTTTGAAAGCACTTGAAATGAACTTTGTGCGCGGATCAATAAAATTAATCATAATGGAGCATGAGACATTTCTCTGAATCGTTAAAGGGATCGAATAAACACACGACTTGCATAATTTTACATAAACAAAATTTATTGTGCAACCACAAATGAAATTAAACATAAAATCCTATTTAGTGTTCGAATAAACAAACCCTCGCACATGCGTTCGATTATAAAATTAACAAACATCAAGAAATCTAAATATTACTTACAGTTTTCAAGTTATAAATCTCAATAAACATCCGGGCAAACAAAACACTAATTGCGAAAGGAAACTAACGCACTTAATCGACACGTGACGCACAAAACTGTGGTTTTCTGGTTTATTTCCCAGGCAGATTGTAGAAACGTAAATAGTGATATCTGACTGAATGCAAACTACACCACCGATGACTCGACTGGCTGTCCGTTTAGAAACTGCTCACCAGGACGTACTGAACTTTTAATATGGCAACACGTCTTCTCAAATTAAAAAAAAATAAAAATTTGCCCTCGAAGTATCACGACAGGTTTCTTCTAACGAACGGTAACCCCGTCCTCAAAATTGATAAAAGGTTTCTTCAACGGACCGCAACTCGGCCTCGAACATGACGAAAAAGCTTCTATAAACGAATCGCAACTCGGCCTCGAAACTGGCAAAAAGCCCCGATCTTACGCCTTAATTCTAAGAAATATCCTTTCTTCTGCAATGAAATAGGTAAACACGAGATTGATTAAATGAGTTGTAATGAGGATTTGATTTAATTAATTAAACCCTCAACGTCCAAAGCGACATTGTTTGGATAACTAGACGTAGATACCTATTAGTTCACGGTCTGCTGTCTCAATCGCAAATTATTATCAAATTATTATTAACAAATGCCTCCGAAAAACTAAACAAATTTGTATTAAGCTTCCTTTAGCTATAGCCTATGGGTAGGTATATACTTATATAGGTTATAGATAGGATCGAAGGATAGACGGGAAAGTGAGAATAAAAGCGCAAAAATTGGGAAACTTACTTATCAAAGGTGTTTTCTCCGTAGGCGGCAGAGTTTCTCTTATTGTCATAAGAAAAACGGTCATCGATAGTAATGCACTTATTCCAAGGGTCACTTTCTCTCCCGATTCGGAAGGAACGTAAAAGACCAGCAGTGCTGAAATAGCGATTCGTTAATTGTGGTACTTCACTTACGGCGAATTATTAGGTACCTATTCCGTTAATTAAGATGCACGGAAGGATGAGGTTGAATACGTAAAAAAGTGGACGCCTTTTTAGCTTGATCGTGTAGGTGATGTCTGGATATGGTTCAGGACAGCACGAATAATATTCCACGTGTTTTATTGCAGAAAAGCTCAACAAATCAAATTCCCCATTCGCTTGATAATTACTTACGTCTCCTTCTTCACTTTGCTTCATTAGTTCTATCTGTAATTAAAAATGTACAAAATAATGTATACTGGAGGTTCATTCTTTATTATTTGAATTTATAATTTCTAATATTGAATGGAATCAAAATAATTTGAGAAATAGTGTTTTAAAACACATCTTTCTCAAACAAATTTACTAAGGGTGCGCCGAACCACTCAACCTTTTTTTGCGTAATTTTGAAGGGTGGGTTACCGCGTTGAATAAAAACACTATTATTGAACGGTTACCGTTACTCTATTATGTCTTCCAAAGTCATTATTGAAAGTTCGAATAAGAAATTCTAACTTTGCCGATTCAATATAACTTTCAAAATTATATTATGAGCGAATTAAGCTCGAAATTAAGTCCTAAGTTCTTGTTTGCATGTCCCTGTTTGGTTATGTACCGTGTCTCTGTCTATCTAATCTATTCATCCATGCGTTATATGTGGACCTCTAACTTTCAATTAATTTACAATTGCCCTATCGTAATGTAGCAAAAATTAGGTGTTCACTCGACGATTTCCATTGGCTGCGCACAGTCCTTGTTTATTATAAGGTAAATCGTTCAAAATTTTCAGAACTTACACCAGCGCCTACAAGATTTTATACAAAACATTCCTTTTTGGTCTGAGTATACACACAAGTAGAAAAATGATACCTCGCCCTACCACTTTTTGCACTTTTTTGTGAAGTCACAAGGTTTTTGTGGTCTTGCCGAGGGGTGATTTCTCCAGTTATGTGACTCGTTTTGCGTATTTTTTAAATTTAACTACAGATGCTTCCAGTAAAGACAAGCATATCGCATATTTTAAACATCAGGTGTGTGTCTGCCCAATTCTAAGTTTCTTATTTATAAGAATTTTTATGTTCTAACTTCTTGCACCCCAACGCTACAATTTTTTGCCATTTCGCACATAACCTTGGGCGTTAAAAAAACGCAAACACATACAAGGGGAAAACCCCAAACCACGACCTTGCACATGCACTACAAAACTTACGTAACCGGGGAAATCACCTTCGCCAAGGTCTTGTGACCTCACAAAAAGTGGTGGGGCGAGGCCGAGGTATCTCTTTTCTACTCGCATGATAGCACTCTTTATATGTGTAGAAATTTGACAATGATCTATACCTACTATGTCCAATAAGACTGTTCCTCGGCCATATCTCGGGAACCGGTCGTCGTATGACTTAGGGGTTAAAAAAATTATTGAGTAAATCGGTTATGAAAAATCTCTGGAAAATATTTTGAAGTTCTAAAAATGACCACCAGAGGGCGTAACTGCCATCTTAAATTTTAAAATTGCATATTCTTTAAATTTCGTATAATACCTAAACTACACATTCTTTTTTCACATTTTTAAAGAGAACCAGTTTATCTAACATTTTCATAAAAACAAAAACTCAGTTATTTCAAAAACAAAGATGATGTGGGGCGTTCAATTGTTTTTTGCAATAACCTGCTTTAACTTATTAGCCGTTTGACTGATTGTAACAAATTTGGTATCGTTGAAAAGAGCATTCCTTGGGCAACAAGAATCAACCAAAATCTAGTTAATTTAGTTGAATCCTTCTCCGACTACGGGCTAGTTTTGACACTGATCCAAAATCCTAAAAAAATGAAATGGAATGATATGGCTTTTTCTTTATGAGAAAGTAGCCAAATAACACCCAAAGAGGCAAGTGAAAACCGTTTTTCAAAATCTCGTTCCTAACCTTAAATATTGGGAAAATGAGATTAATTAATTCATAAAAATGCTTAAATTGTATCTTATTTGACGTATTTCCGGTATTTGTCGATGGCGCGAAAGATTTTATGGAAAAGGACCCTACAGTTTTAGGTAGGCCTTGGAAAATTAAACAAATGAAACACGATGGTCAATAATTTTTTAACCCTAAGTCATACGACGAAAGGTTCTCGAGATATGGCCGAGGAACAGTCTTATTGGGTCACCCGGTACATTTCACTCCCTCTGTTATGGAACTTAACTGGAACTTTAATCAGTTTGAGGTTGAATTTCTCCGTTTTTTCTTGTTGCGTTTTAGTTTAAATTTTACATTTTAGTGTTGTACTGACTCTGTCGTTCTAAGACAATGAATGGCAACATGAGATATATCGAATAGGTACCCAAAACAGTCACCAACGGGGAGCACATACACAATTAACAGTTAATGATTTATAAACCCCTCACGATTGCTAAAATCAAAAAATCTCTGTAAAAGTAATGTAGGCATACAGATTTGGTTAACTTTCACCTTCTATCTAATTTAAATTTCAATTTTTTGACGGTGGGTCTTTTTTACTGTCTACCCTTAACGGTGTATGTAACATTTTTTTTGTTATGCTTTTCGTTATTGGTGGAGCCCTTTAGCTGTTACTCGCCAAAATACTACTGCGTCATTAATCGTTCCTGATACTAAGATTTTCAACCAAGTTTGGGTATAGATTTTACCTAAGCTTTCAACAAATTGTATTCTGCGGCTTTAATAACTTAATCGTACTTTAGTCGAGAAAATTGTACCTACCTAAAATAATCCTTCAAATAATACAATATTACAATATACTTAGCGTAATCGCCGAGTATTATTTTAGACAATAATTAAATTTAAATGCGACGAATTGATTAAACTTTGTCTCAATTAAAAACGTCGCATTCGCCGAGATCCCCATGCGAAAAAACAGGATCTACCGTGTGTCCTATTTTGGTGGAGACTCAGCTGTTTTTAAAGATAGAGGCAATTTTCGTGACTCTCTACTATTTTTGTTTGGAGAAACTTAATACCACAAACAGAATCAATCTAGCTACGTTTGTTTCTGAGATATAGCGTGAAAACGAACACTTTGAATGTTATCGTATATTGCCCATGTAAGATAGAAACAAGGTAAAAACGGCTAATTCTAGATATTTTTACGTACAATCCAGTGGCCTAGTAAAAATAAATTTTGGATCACCGTTTCTGAGATTTCACCCATAGTTGGTATTTTGTAAATGCGACATACTGTATATCTTAACGTCAATTTTTTGCTTTATTTTTCTTGATTACATTGATTGATTTAATTTTAGCGGTTTTGTACGGTTTTTAAATCGTAGGCCATGGATTCATGGAGATTTTGTTTTTTTATTGTATTCATTGCAGCCGATACCAATCAATAAACATGACTGACAGTAGAAACCTGTTATTTCAAAATTTTGAAAAAATGTTATAATATAATGTATAATTATATAAAAAGATATAGGTTGTGATATACCAATGTAATTAGGAAAACAAATGCGAATAATTGAGGTTAAGATATATAGGGTGTTACATTTAAATACCAACTTTTGGCCAAATCTCAGAAACGGTGGTCCAACAAATTTTTTTGACTACATCACTGGATTCTACGCAAATAATGTCTAAAAGAAAGTTTATATTTTTTTTCACCCTGTATCTCACGTGACTAGATTTATTCTGTTTGTGGCATTACTATTTTAACAAAAAAAAGTGGTACAGAATTCTCTTCTGAATTTCCGTTTGGCAATTGCGAAAAATAAATATTCAAATTAACTACCTGGTATCCATCGTATGTCCACGAAGCCCATTTCATATGACAATTTTGCAAATCGAATGGAAAGTATTCTACGTTAATATCACAAGACGAGCGGTAGATCCCATGGCTTAGCCATACCACCTCTCCAGAATTTGATACTATTACATTGGTATTTATTACGGATGCTTGAAACTGTGGATCGGCACTGAAAAGAGATTTTTTTTAAAATAAAGCGTTAATTATAATAATAATACTCAAGATGAGAACCAGCGTTTCTGCAATGGTATTATCCCAGACTTATTTATTTATTTTTTTTATTCTAACGTATACCTATAACTATACCGGGTGCCCATTATGTATGGAATATAGGTATAGTACGTCGGGTACATGGCTAGAATAGGGAAAATACTGCACTTTTTGATTGGAATATGCCACTTTCTGTGGTAATAGTTAATACCAAAAGGCAACTTTTGAGATAGGGAGCCACTCGAAAATCCGTGCAGGAAACCAAAATGGTGGCCGTCAAAATGGCGCCATTAGCCGCAATATATTTTTTTGTATTTCTGCTCCTAATATTCCGATTTTAATTTTCTTTTTTTTGATTGAAAGCTCTTGTGACGAGGAAACTTTTTTTCTATATAACATTTTTCTCTCAAACTTAAGGATTTAGCACAATTCTCTCAATAAAAAATATTCTAAGCGAAAATGCTTTTTACACTGTCGACGAGTTTTTAGAAGTAAGTAAGTGCTCAAGGTTTTAAGTTATGTTATGTTATCTTTATGTTAAATTATATCAATGTTTTCTTTCGCTTTTTCTTTCTTTTTTCTTCATTTTGTGACATGTCCTAATACAATATTATATTGTCAACAGGAAACAATAAAAGTTATGAATTTTAAAAAAGTGTTCTTTTTACGAATTTGAATCACAGGTAAGCTCTTAATTGTGCAATATCCCGGTCTTTTCGACATAAAAGGCCATCATTTAGAAATTCAATCGATACAACCCCAAAACTCCTTGTATCTACCCTGCAAGTTCGGAAAATTTCAATCCGCCATGTTTTTTTTTGGAAAAAATGCGCAATATTTGTTTCATCAGGCACGAGATCAAGTATTATGAAAATTGAAAGGAAAAGCCTCGTCAATTTTTTTCTCTGAAAAACAGAAAAACACTCAGTATATCAACTTTAACTCTTACTTATCCTATTTTATTTAACTAATTGGTTTAAGCTACGACGAATGAAATTTGGAGTGCTTATTTATCAGATCATGGGTTTTTTCGAGGGATTTCTCTCGGGTTTTCTTTAAGAATATTAACGGAATATTATGATTTCCAAGTTTTAGATACCTATTCATATAAGTTGAATCATTTTTATTATACAGGGAATCCACCTTCTGTAAGCGGACGATAGAGCCTCAATGGTTGAGATTAATGGTAACGGTTTGTTGGTGAGGGGAAGCCTAAAACGTATTTTTAGGTATATAGGGTGTTCTTGAGGGCATTTTGATATTTTTTATAGGTATCCCCCGGTATATCCGTTAACAAAAGAATTATTTTTGTAGGTCTTATCGGTTTTTTTTCGTAATGCTAACCGCGAGGCTAACCGTTTTCCGGATATGTTTTTTATACAGGGCTGAAAATTTTATCTTCAAAACATTTTTTCAAAAAGCTTTTTATGACATCCATAATTATAAAAAGTACTCCACGTACATTCAATTTGGGGTCAGTAGCATACTTCTGCACGGTCAAAGGGGGCATACTGTTTTTAAATAGCAACCACTATTTTCTTGACGTAGTGAATTATTTGTCGATACAAATTGATACAATGAAACTCGTTTTTCAAATAATTGACTTTTAATATTTCTTTAGCTAATCGACTTCGAATCGTATAGACCGATTCATCATCAGACCTTAAGAGTCAGAATATTGTGCTGAATAATACAAATCCTTACATATTAACATTTGACGTGGACAAGTTACACATAAAAATCGGGTTGAGCTTACTTGTGATTCAAATTCGTAAAAAAAACACTTTTTTAAAATTGTGCTAAATCCTTAAGTTTTAGAGCAAAAAAGTTTCCTCGTCACAAGAGCTTTCAATAAAAAAAAGAAAATTAAAATCGGACTATTAGGAGCAGAGATACAAAAAAATATATTGCGGCTAATGGCGCCATTTTGACGGCCACCATTTTGGTTTCCTGCACGGATTTTTGAGTGGCTCCCTATCTCAAAAGTTGCCTTTTGGTATTAACTATTACCACAGAAAGTGGCATATTCCAATCAAAAAGTGCAGTTTTTTTTGGCGTACCCAACGTACTAGTAGTATATGTATATCTCGATAAATAACGACTGTGTAAAAAATGTTTTATACAGTGTGTAAAGCGATGGGGTATACAAGAGGGAATTTTTTTAAATATTGATTTATGAAAAAAATTTATTCTTCATTATATTTTTTGCTTACTTTGAAAGTACCAATAACGTTTCGATTGTTTGTGGTTTGATAGCAATACTCTATCTTAATTATAATGTAGAATGATAACTTTCAATAAAAAAAATTAATTTTATTATTTTTCCAGATTTCTATAAATAAATTTTAGATTATCGAAACGTTATTGGTACTTTCAAGGCAAGCAAAACATATCATGAAGAATAATTTCAAATCAATATTTAAAAAAAAATTCCCTCTTGTATACCCCATCGCTTTACACACTGTATAAGAGTTATTTAACATTTTATTCCCCATAATAAGGCAGCATTCAGTTGTTTTTATTTCAGAAAACAAATCAATAACTAAAAACAATTGAATTTTTTAAAATAGCAGTTTACTTTGCATTAGGCTCATTTGATAGAGGTTTTTTCTTCTTTTTTCGATGACGTAACATGTTACATAAAAAATTTTTCAAAAAAAGTTATTATAATTGCATCAATAACATTAATCTAGATATCCTACATTAAAATAAAACAAACGAACGTGTACGTTTCTTATTGAACCTTAAAGACAAAATGAAATTAGCAATAAAATGGTTTTAATCGCAATAAGTGTTCAAAATATTTTTATTATTGCAAGGCAGTGAACTAACCTATCACGGAAAGCTTGAAATGAACGTATGAGTATTCATGGAGAAATTGCTGCAGCAATTATTGCTAATTTCGTATTGTCTTCATTTGTTTTATTTTGATTTATGCTAATATTAATGTTATTGATGTAATTATAATAATTTTTTTGTATAAGGATACTAACTAACGTGTTACATCATCAAAAAAATTTAAAAAATCTACCATTGCTATTTAAAAAATTCAATTGTTTTTCGTTACTCATTTGTTTTCTGAAATTAAAACAACCGAATGCTGCCTTATTATGAGAAATAAAATGTTAAACAACTTTCATATAGACAAATGTTGTATACAGTGGATATTTACCGTGATATATACTACATATATGAGCACCCTGTATAGTTTGTGACGGTTAAATAATGATACAAATATATGCTCCTCGTTTTTATCCTCATCTCGATTTTTGACCACAGCAAACTTTAGGGTTTAAAGTAAGGGAAAGATTCGGAGATATTCTTTTAATACATACACTGCATTTCAGTTAAAACGCGCCACCCTATAATAAAGTAAGTTATTTGATATTGCGACTGTACAAAAATCGCAAAACACCAAATTTACTTTTCACGGGGGCACATTTCTACGTGAAAATCCAACCCCTGTCACAATAAGAACCCACATGTCAAATTATGTAAATTCTTCCGTGCCACTTTCACTTTCTACTTTGAAAAGATACAAACTTTTTCTTACATTTCTTCTGCTGTAAAAAAATGTTGCAGAGTTAGATACAGAATTGAAAGCCCTTTTAAATCAGGTGTTACTCGACTATTATTTTCGTTTGAAATTTTTTACATGAGGGTTGTGGGAATTAAGGGGATTGTACGTAGAAATGTTCCCCCTTGAAAACCAAAGTTGACGTGTTTCATTCATTTGTTATAGCCCCAATATCAAGTGATTTAGTCAGGGTGATTCCTTTTTAAAATGGAAAAAAATTATTATTTATCACTTCGGTATGATGTTAAGAGTTAAGACTAAGACTAAACACCATTCAATTTAGTTAGGTAGCAGATAAAACCGTTCTAGAGAAGTCTCGAGTTAGTATCTCATATTTCATGGAAAGAATGAGTTACATCCGATTTTATTCCTTATCGCCCTTGACTAATTCTTTGTCGACTTGAAGACAGTTTGGTATCGCTCTAGAAAATTCGCTACAGTATGTGTTCTATTAGAAGGATATCTCTGAATGAACCCGTTAAGCAAAACTAAAAGGTTCTTCGGGCTTTTTTCTGCCTGTTCGAACTTTGGTCACGATTATCAAGGAAACGGTTTGAGAATCTGACTTCACTTCTTCGAAAACGTGAACCATGTATTTAATGAAACTGTCAGAGGTGTGGTGTTATTATGGTCCTAGACTGCGATCAAAGTACCTAAGCACAACACCTTCAATTTATTAAATTATGAAAAAAAATTACCTCACAAAACTTTGTTTGTAAAGTTTCAAGGGCGTCGAAAAATCAGTAGGTGCCTGTGTATAAAAGGGTGCAGGTATGTACTTTAGAGTTAAATTTAATTGCACTCATTAGGCGCACATTCAATAAATTGCACAGTACACCTAGGAGTTTTTCAGAGTTGTAAAACATGCTTTTCAGTTGCATTAAAAGCAAAGCATTCATGCTAGGTATATAAAGAACTTACTTATTGTAAAGTATTAAATCAGGCCTCCATACCCGATTGTATGGTATTCGTATCACTTTTATTCCTGAAAAGTCAGAAGCGTTCCATTTTAAATGATGATCGATCCAAATTTGCGTTATCCAACAGTTTGTTGTCAAAATTTGATTCTTTTCATCCTATAACAATAAGAGGAAGATTAGAACTTATTGGCATTTAATCACTCTAAGTGGTTTCTAACAAAATCTAAGTCGACTATTTTGAAACAATTTAAATTAAGCGGCGATAGGTCGGGTAATTATAGAAGGGAAGGATTTTAATTCACTCCGCAATTGTACTTGATCTTACAGATTATTGTAAAAAATGTGCCAAATTCTTGACAGAACAGCTTCCTAGCTCAAACCAAAAAGTGTCTTCGAAAAATGGTACGTGTTTCCCACGAACGTTTATTATTTTCCGATGTTGAATAAGAATATTCAATAAAAAGTTGCCTCGCACTTGATCCTTAAGGAACAGTTATGTAAAAATGTGCATAGCATCATTAAATGGGCCGATACGAAGAATGTTTTATATAAATTATTTTTTGATACTCCGCTAGTTTCCGCAATAATCGACTGTCAAAATAAATGAGACACCCTGTATGTAAATTAATTCAGTGACATTCAAACACAGGCTGATTCAAATTTGAGGTTTACATTTGGCAAAGTTGAGTATTTTGATGCTTATAACAAAATGCAGTTTTGGAACTGAAAACATTCCGACTACTTTCGGAGATATCCGGAAAAACATGAAATTTTGCTAAATCTTTTTGATTTTTTACGGAAGTTATTTAAAAAATTGTTTCAAAATAAATAACACATTATTATGGCCATTTTTTCCCCTCCATAAGATGCTAGTTTTAAATTTTAAATCCGACGTTTCGTCATCGGTTAACTATCATCAACTTTGTTTTTTCTTATGGAAATAATTTTTACTTTTTGTGCCATTTGATAGAGAATTTTTTTCTGATTTCAAAAATCTAAACAATTTATTTAATGTCTTCTATTTTGCCTAGAAAACTTTGTCTTGAACAGTGTACGTACGTAGTTTCTTGCGTTTTTACGAATTAATAGCGCTATTTCTTATTAAAAGATAGTGATGTTTACATTTTTTAAATCAGAAAACAATTCTCTATCAAATGACACGAAATGTAAAAACTACTTCCATAAAAAAAAACAAAGTTGATGATGGTTGACCGGAGACGAAACGTCAAACTTAAAATTTAAAAGTAGAATCAATTCGTCTCGCTTATGCAGGTGCAGTATTTGGTCTTCAAAAATTGTTCCAATAAATCATCCCCTGAAACTGATATCTGTTCTAGGTAAAAATGCTTGCTTCAACAGTATCGTATATAACATGTTCTTTATTATCGTTCTGTAGCGTCACAATCACGATCTGATCACGTGATTTTAGCGTGGTGACCGACCCGCAATATCCCCAAAGACAAAAATTTTAGAGATGAATTGCTCCGTGGTTTTCGAGTGTATTTTTTAAGGAAACCAATAAACATTTAAAGGCCTCCTAGCATACATTCAAAATCCTCCGACACTCCATTCTGCAGATAATCTATCTCGTCCTGACGTTCCACTTGCCCTTTATGAGTACCTTTTTCCGACACTAAGTTTGCAAGGGATTTGCTTCAACTCGATTCATTTTGCTTTTGAGAGTACTTTCTTCCGACAAACTATTTGTAAGAAATTCGCTCTTAAAGTTTTTACGTTATCAATGGATATGTTTTTTGCAGATGTGCTAATCGTTCTTTGTGAGTCGACGAGGAGGTTGGTAGAATTTAATTCCTTTCGTTGATACCTTTCATTAGAGTACCATGAAGTATGAAACCAGTTTTACTCTCCCCTTTAATTAGAATACCATGAAAGATGAAATGAATTTCTAACACCCCCTCCCCCCCGGCACCGTCACCCTTTGATCTCTATACTGATCTGTACCTATGGCTCTGTCGACCTGAATTTCAAACAGTCTTCCAAAATCAACAATACTGACGTGATGCTACATGCGAATGCTTTAAATTTTGATCGCCTTTCTATACAGAGTATTTTAAAATTAATGGTCAAGTTTAACATGAACCACAAAAAAAATTTTTCAAATGAAATTTGCTTTATTTTTTTGCACTTTCAAATGTCGAATAAAATTCTACATCGATCAATTATTCCATTCCTTATACCTATCTGTGATGGTTTTCGTTTTATTTAAGATGTACTAAATTGTGACCGTTACATGCATAATTTTCTTAGGAGGCCTTGAAATAAATGCGTCCTATTTAAAATAACAAAGTTGCTATCCACATCCGGTAAATTCGGAAGTGAAATGATCATGATAATATTTTCCTTCGATAGATCATAAGAAAGAAGAATAATCAAAAATGACAGCAGAAGTTTACTTTTTCTGAAGGACGCCTACTTTTATGCAACCAAAATAACTTCTTGAAACAAATAAAGATCTGGCTGTAATATTAATCAATTTGATTATTGTTGCTTTGGCTTAACAGAAAATAAATCTCTTACGCTCCTTAAACTGTTACTGGCACTATACCATTTGAGAATATCAACTGTTTACTCAGTTGAAACATTGATTAAATTAATTTTTTATTCAATGAATTCAGTGTAGTCACACCGCACCCGAATGAAAATAAAAATACGGAAGCCAAAAGCAACTATATGCAATTTAATTAATAATGACACGCAGATCGTTATTTTTAAAAGAAAGTTATTTTGGTTGCATAAAATTAGGCGTCTTTCAGAAAAGATTTTGTCATTTAAAAGTAGACATAGGGAAAACCAACACACGCAAATCCCCATGTCTACGGCAAATTTTTCAAAAATTATTGAGAATTGTTATTTTTATTAAGAGTATTTGAAAGACTTTATTTATCTGTATACAACCTACAAAAATTGTGCCAGGTTTTATAACAAAAAAAACTGGAAAAAACTGTCAGAGTAAAAGAACTAAAATGTTTTTTTTTTATTTTGATTTCTTAAAAATTATGCAAATGTACATTAGCATGTAAGTCTGGCAAACACTTTTTTTACCAACTGGTTTAAGCTAGGAAGCCGTTCTGCCAAGAATTTGGCATCTGGTTTGGTTTTGTGTAGAGAAAAAATAAGATAATATTGAACTTACCACGTCAATGATGTGATGCAAAGAAATTCCAAATATCACAGATAAAGGTAAAGATGAATTTTTCACCGGTCGAACGGCCGGATCATAATTTGACATCAATTGGCGCATTAATCGGGCTTCATGTTCATCACCGAAACATTTATCTGAAAAAAATCCAACTAGGTACTAGGTACACAAATTATGAACACTATCTACATTCAAATTAGAATAATCGATATCACTTTCAAAATGGCAATCAGAAACGCTTCTACGTCATTTGATGCGTGTGCAATAGCTCGGTATCTTTACGCTTTTGCTTTTTGAAAAAGAAAGTAATACTGAAAGCCATTATGTATAAATCCAACAATGGAAATTCCTGCACTGCTTATAGAAAGACTTTTAATATTTGCGCTGGTTGCATGCAAAAATGAATTGAAAGGTTGACAACGCGAAAATGAAACCAACATTTGGAATCCATACTTGAATCTTTAATTTATTACTTTTTTATGCGGGTAATTAACGCAAATCTAATGACGGTAAATTAGATTAGGAGGTTGTTTAGCGTAAGTAATGGATTTAATGTAGATTTGTTGATCCACATTAAATGCCCCCGAAACTTTGTCAATCTCCATACACCTAAAACCAACAAATTGGGCCAACAGGGTACTAAGCGTTTCTGACCACCTCTACAGTGAACACACGCTAAGACCGTAAGAAACGAAAACCACCTGACAGGTTAGATTTGTTGGAATATAAAGGTACCTAATAGTCGGTGGAGTGATTCAATTGATAAGTAGAAAAATATTTTTTATTATACCGTTCTGGACACTCAAATGAGTGCGAAATTGGGTATGCTGCCAAATCTGTTCCAGTTCTTAATTGCAGAATTGCTTGAAGTTTTGAATGAATGCACTAAAATACCATTGACATTTCCTTCATATATTCCAGTATTATCGATCGTAAGATGCTTCCTATTCATCCACGTAAACAACTTTTCATATTCTCTATAATAGGCACTACTGGATTTGGATTTTGCACCTACCGACTTTTCTTCTGCTTTTACAACAAGCCATTGTATAAACGGTGTATTATCTTTTTCAACCGAAATCATTTTATTTACAAAAACTGTGATTTTTGTAAGCAAACGTTACGTGACATTTCCATGGCAATCGTGGAATTAAGAATAAACATGCCACTTAATTAGACTGTGAAACTTTTAAAGAACTTAAATCTCAGATAAGAAAGCACTAAATTAATTCAAAATGGGTCTGAATAAAGATTTCAAGTCAATTGTCATAACTTCCAGATGCGACACTTTCGCGAAAGCAGTTATAGCACTTGTTAATTATTTTATTGTTACAACCTGTGAACGTTAACCTTATATTACGAAGATCAAGAATACAATCTTCGATTTAAAATTATTGGGGGCTCGCCCCCGCTATGGCTTTGTCCCTCAGGGGGGCGAAACCAGCAAAAAAATGGTTCCCCCTTGAATCAAAAATTGTCGGGTCCGAGGAATTTTGCATAAATGTTTTGACATCCCAAAATAGGCTTTGTTTCGTTTTCAAATGGCCACCCTGTATGTATATAAAAGCAACCATACAGTGACTCTTATTTTTACTCATCTTTCTCACCTGATACCTCTGTCTTGGCCAAGACTCAATTCTAGAAAATACGCAAGCGTTCGAACTACATGATACACTACTCAGAACCTCAATTAAATAATATATAATATAAATAATTAACAATAAACAATTCGGCAGCGTACCCTCAGGTCATGAGACATCCGTTACAGCTTTACAACTCGGCATGAAATTCGAGTACAATAGTTACTTATGATATTTCGCGAGACCTATTCCTTTCCATTTTAAATTTAGTCAACTTGTACAGGATGAGTCAACGATTGCGCGGAGTAACTTAATGCCTTGAAGATAAGATTTTTCGATAGAGTGCTTTTGTATTATGATATGGTTGAATATTCTCCACATTTTAAAAATATTTGGAATTGTACAGGGTACGCCCACAAAGCAGGGCGTCAAAATGGCACATTTTTTTAAATAGAACTCCCTGTATTTGAATGCATTTTTGAATTGTACGTGTAATTGTACGTCTTTTTTATTATATGGTTAATATCCGAAAAGCAAGGACTTTTAAAGATAATTTCTTCTTCTTATCTTTTATCCTGGGTTAAGTAAAAGTCAAATAAATACACTAAAAAAATAGCTTACAGGGTGTTTTTTTTCTAGATCCAAAGTTACAAAACTTCATATTAAAAATCTCACTTTTTTTAAATGGAACACCCTGTATTTTTCTGTCATCTTTTAGCTCCTCCAAAAACCCTAAACTTTTGATAATAATGACCTATACCTATCTCTGATAGTTTTCGAAATATCTTGGTTTTCCTGGTTTTTATATTCTAATCTTAAATAAGTATATGTAATTTACATAATAGTGAGGTGGCCATGCAAAAAAAGGCAATTTTTATTTGCCTCGTTCAAAGATAAAATCATATTTATTAATTCATTTTTCTAATAATTCATTTAAGTCTATAAAAACTGGAGAATAAATTTGATAGTAAAAACATAAACAAATATCTTGGTTTTTCTACTTATTATATTTTAATCTGAAATAAGTTCTAATTTACATAATAACGAGGTGAATATGAAAAAAAATGAAACTAATATCACTGACTGGATTAGTCGATATGATTTTCGTTTTGGACGAGATAGATAAAAATTGCCTTTTTTTGTTTTTTTTACATGGCATAACTTATTTAAGATTAGAATATAAAACCCAGGAAAACCAAGATATTTCGAAAACTATCAGCGATAGGTATAGGATATTATTATCATGAAGGTTTTTGGAGGAGCTAAAAGATGACAGAAAAATATACAGGGTGTTTCATTTAAAAAAAGTGAGATTTTTAATATGAAGTTTTGTAACTTTGGATCTAAAAAAAACACCCTGTAAGCTATTTTTTTAATGTTTCATAATAGATGTATTTATTTGACTTTTACTTAACCCAGGATAAAAGATATAAAACCTGGAATCAAAATTTAAGTATCTAATAATTTTGACAATAAATATACTGACGCTTGCAAATGCCCAATTTTTCTTAAAAATCCAATTATCTTCAAAACTACTAGCTTTTCGGATATTAACCATATAATAAAAAGACGTACAATTACACGTATTCAAAAATGCATCCAAATACAGGGGGTTCGATGTAAAAAAATGTACCATTTGGGCTCCCTACTTTGTGGGCGCATCCTGTATAATTCCAAATATTTTTAAAATGTGGAGAATATTCAACCATATCATAATACAAAAGCACTCAATCGTTGACTCGCCCTGTACATTATTCATGTACAATTGTATTGGGTGGTATAAATTTAACACTTTCTTATGGCAACAGCCTTTATTTTAAGAGATACCTAAGAAATTGTGGTCTCAAATAATCCTGCCCTCTTGTGTTGGTCATGGAAACCTAGATGTCTGCAATAAAAATAATTTAATGTAGGTATAAAATGCAATATTGCAAATTATAATATTTAATATAAATATAACAAGTGCAAACGCAAGAAAATTGGACTTGCAAATTGATCTGGATATCATTTTGTTTTTTATAAGTAGTTATTGTTCTGTTGATTGGATGCGAATTAAGCGATTTAAATATTTATGAGTAAATTCGAGCTGGAGGGTAATAGTCGGCTGGCTGATTTCAATTGATTAATAGAAACCAATTATTTGACTGTGTCAGGTTGTTTTTATTTAAATAATAATATTCACCTTCCACATTAATTTATTTTCGAAACACCGTCCCATATTCTAAAGATCAACACTATCTAACAACTCCGTCTTGTTTTAAGAAGTTATTATGGTTGCATGGATATTAGGCGCCTTTCCGATGAGATTTTGTATTTTAGAAGTAGACATAGGGAAAAACAATACACGTAAATCCCTATGTCGACTTCTTAATAAATACAAGTTATCACTGTATATTCGTTTACACATTTTTAATCCTTTTAATAATTTCGGTCAAATCTTTGTTGGATATCGATATCGAATAGAGTAAATTTGAACTTTAATTTAACCTCTAACTAAGCGACGTAGGTATAGACATAATTCGAGGGTCGTCAGGATCAAGTTCTCTTGAAATTTATACTAGGGCTCCACAATCCACCATAAATTTTTAATTCCTTGTACCTATTAATTTTCCTAACATGATATGATGCCTAAATAATTAGTAGTCCCTCGAAGATCAAGTTTGGGGTTTAGACAGGGTTAAATCACTACATTGTAATAATATTTACCTATATAAGACTGTTGTTGCTCAACTATTAAGTTTCAACTCTGTTTAATGATTTTAGAATTGTTCTTTACGTATATTTTTTTGATTTCTGTTAAAAAGGATCGGAATTACAGCCAAAAGATTAAATATCATATAAACTAAAGGATATCCGATCTTTGTCAACATTTATTGTGGATTATCCTTGTAAACTCCTTGGGTTAGAAAATGGTACGTTACCTAAATATTGAACCTTGTATGTCGTATGTTTTGTTAAACCCGTTCAGCCGTTGCACAATACTTTAATAATGTCAGTGAAGGGTGCGTTATAGTTATTTACATAAAAGTCAGGAAAATGATACATTGCTGGCGAGGAAATATTGAAGTGCGAGGCCCCCTCGGGGTCGAGTACTTTAATTTCCGAGTCATCAGGTAATGACATTTTACTGACGAGTTGTATTAAATTTTACCCGAAATCGTCTTTTAATATAAAATTTCAATTTTTATATAGAACTCTTGATTAATGTGATGACAGGAGTCATTATAGACATTTGGAAATGTCAAAAATGGCGGCTGGTAAAGTGACAGGTGCGGCCACTAAAGTGACAAGCGGCAGGAAACGTAGTCTGCTCTGTCTCTGTCATGGAAACTAAAATTTCCTGACAGAAAGTAGGCATGAAAATCAGGTTTCAGAACGATTTTGGGTAAAATTAATAATATCTTGAACTCGAAAATGCTCAGGAAAGTAATGACACTTTTATTTAATTAGTACTATTTCGTCAGCGTTTCTGCATTATTTTTATGTGACCATTAAGATGAAGATGGCATACTTATACTCACCTTGTAATAAAATCTTCAGCGCGAAACATACAAAGAGGAAAGTCTTCATTTCTATTACGAGTGCCATAACATTTAAAATTAATAAAAAATGATCTGATCGAGATTCCTTAAATAAGTCTGAGAGACACTGAGTTTTGGGTAATTACTCTTTCACCGTAGTACACGCACATGTGAGAGTTACGGAGGAGTACGTACCGCCCTTTTGATTATTTGAGCGTAGACTGAAAGCAAATCGACGCTGGAAGTTTCGAACGCATGTCAGAAAGCTAGATAACTAGGAAATTATTTGCAACCGGCTGGATCGCCGATACATACATGTTGGGAACATCTACAAATTACGTTACAGATAATTAATACGTCGTAGCCATATCTCGTTCAATATTCAAATTTCAAGCTCTCTTTCCAAATGCTTATGAGCGTTTTTGGTGTGAACGTGCGCTCAAATTTCAACTAGAAGCGAAATTGTTAACTCAATTAAGACCGCTACCAATTTCTGTTAAATTTAACTGGCAGCTAATTCCTTTATACAGTAATAGTTTTCGTAATAATACCTACTAGTTTACAAACTGGAGTTTTCTCCTGCTCATACACATATAAGTATAAACATACATACAAAGAGATTTTAATAGGGTACATAAGCATAACATTCTCCTATACATCATTAGAAATATTGGGTCTATGGATGAGTGCGAGAGAGAAACTTGATTAAATGCCTGCGAATTCTTAATCTTGTGTGAAGTAATCCGCTCTCTAAACACTAAGTAATCAACCAATGGTGGAATAGTAATGGCGGAGGGATCTTATTAAATTTCATTGGTTCAAAAAAATCGGGAATTCTGTAGTGTCAGCTTATTTACAGTTGCAGAAGTAACTTAACACGACCGATTTGTAGCGTGTAATTCAAAACCAAAGCCAGACAACGAGGCGACAAACAATTTAGAACAAACAATCCATTGACAAAACCTGTGAGAAGTTACGAAAGCTCGCTGCTATTACAATCGACAAAATAAAACTTTAACTTAACACGAGTAATATTTGTTTGGTGGAATGTTCTTGAAACCTTGACTTTTTTCATCTTGGAAATTTTTAAACGGTGCCGGATTGATTTTATTTCCGTGTTCTTGTAGTGCGAAGTTAGGATAGAACCTGGGGGTTAAGTACATTACAAGTTTGGGAATTACGCTCCTAATTGCCTTGGAAAATATGTTCTATGCCCTGTTAGTTTTAGATCTTTTGCACATCAACATGTTTCCTTTTATTCAGATTAATATTATTGATCAAATGTATTTCTTAACTTTAAAATCAAGGCCGCTACGATTTATCAAAGTGGGCTTGCTTATGGACAATTATACGGAAAAAAATTAATCATTTGGTAACATTGACAAACAGAAAAAGTTAAGAGGTTTTCATGCAGAGGTTAAAAAATGACATCGAAACAACTAAAAGTATACAGGGTGTTCTATTAAAATAAATCAGTTGTCTATTGACACCGAAAAATTGGGCACCCTGTACATTCAAAGATAATTGTTGTAGGATGCGCAACCATCTATGGTTGACATTTACACAAAAGGTTTTTGGATATTTTTTACCAGGTATGAGCTAGGAAAGATTGGCGCACTGCTGAAGGACCCTGTCATTTATATACAGTCGGTTTCAAATTAAATTGGCACTATTGCTAATTTTCTTACTTGTAGAGTTAGAGAAACGGTCAAATGATCAAAATTGTGTATTTTTGTTCTAAAGAATCCGAATCTGTAACTAAAAAAACAAAACACCATCGCATTTTTTAGATAACGCGACTTTTTTATATAGAATATCCCGTATATTATTACCTCATATGACACCTTATTAAATTATCTACAAGTTCTTAATGTACCATAGCCAAAATGTACGGCGACCTGCGACTGTTCATATACTAGACGACGCGACGTAACAGCACAAAAGTTCAAAAATGTAATAAAAAGTTTCTGCTTTATTTTGCAATATTGTTTTGCACCAATACATTCCTTATTTTTTTCTTATTAGAAAAATACATACTTATGTAATATGTTTGATAAGAAACAAATTGATATAAATAGGGAAAACCGCTATTCAGTCTTGAAAATGTCGATTAAACAAAGTGGGCCGTGGAACATACAGTTCATATTTCAGAAAATGACAGTATTTTAATATAGAATTTCCTAAATTTTATAAATCTAGTAGGCTGTAATTAATATAGGTATCTCTGCTACTAAAATTGTTTAAAATTCAAATTAAATTATTTTTATTAAAGAACTGTTTTTACAGTATTGATGAGTAGGTACATGACTGCTCCTACATGCACAGACATGATTTTTTTATGTTAGTAGGTATTGTGAATGTGATGTAACCAAACAATTTTTAAATTGAAATGGGTTTAATAAAAGTTATTATTATTATTATATGTAAATCAATATCTAAGGTCTAACTTTTAGATTTACCTATAGAATTTAAAATGAATTAGATAAATGAGCAAATTCTATTAAAATACCTACTGTCATTTTGAGCATTTTTTGAAATATCAACTAGGTACATACGAGTACTTATTCACTGTGCCCAAGATAAGGATGTCTATCTTGGGGATCTCGGAAACTAGAATGTACGAAGATGGTCAAATTAGGGAAAAGTTATGCAATTAAAGAGTAATTATCATGCTGGTAAAGAAAGACACTTTCTCATTGCCACTTTTTTAGCTCTCAATATAGCAATAGTACACGGAGAAAAATGTATGTTAAAGGTAATTAAAAATATAATAATAGCTATCAAAAAATAGGTATAATACGTATAGGGATAGCTATAAAGAATTATAAAATTTATCATATACATATTGTTGCAAGTGCAGTATAGCTCGTTTTACTATATATTGTTTTAACTCATACAAAAAAACTGTATGTAACCGCGGCAACCATCTCATATGCATGCTTTTGTAATACGGGAGTACACACCCTGCCAAAAATCGACTGCATCAAAATTTCTCGGGAATTCTTATTAATTTTGGTGCGTAAAATCCAAAACAATTCGTACTTTTTCGATCAGACTTCTCAATCAAAAGTTATAGACTAGAAACCAATTTCGAAAAAAATTCAAAGGGCTGTAACTTTTGAACTAGTAGCCCAATCTTGGAACTGTTTGAAATTATGGATTCTACAGGCCACATTCTATAAGAAAATTTTTTTCCGGGTCGATCTGAGACAATTTTTTTTTCGGGGTCTCAAAAAAAGGCAGTGTATAACCTTCCTTTTTTACCAAAAATCGACTGCACCAAAATTTCTCGGGAAAACACTTTTTCTTATTAATTTTGGTGCGTAGAATCCAAAACAATTCGTACTTTTTCGATCAGACTTCTCAATCAAAAGTTATAGACTAGAAACCAATTTCGAAAGAAAATTCAAAGGGCTGTAACTTTTGAACTAGTAGCCCAATTTTGGAACTGTTTGAAATTATGGATTCTACAGGCCACATTCTATAAGAAAATTTTTTTTCCGGGTCGATCTGAGACAATTTTTTTTTCGGGGTTCAAAAAAAGGCAGTGTATAACCTTCCTTTTTTACCAAAAATCGACTGCACCAAAATTTCTCGGGAAAACACTTTTTCTTATTAATTTTGGTGCATAGAATCCAAAACAATTCGTATTTTTTCGATCAGACTTCTCAATCAAAAGTTATAGACTAGAAACCAATTTCGAAAGAAAATTCAAAGGGCTGTAACTTTTGAACCAGTAGCCCAATCTTGGAACTGTTTGAAATTATGGATTCTACAGGCCACATTCTATAAGAGTATTTTTTTTCCGGGTCGATCTGAGACAATTTTTTTTTCGGGGCTCAAAAAAAGGCAGTGTATAACCTTACTTTTTTACCAAAAATCGGCTGCGCCAAAATTTCTCGGGAAAACACTTTTTCTTATTAATTTTGGTGCGTAGAATCCAAAACAATTCGTACTTTTCCGATCAGACTTCTCAATCAAAAGTTATAGACTAGAAACCAATTTCGAAGAGAAAGAGACAATTTTTTTTCGGGGCTCAAAAAAAAGGCAGTGTATAACCTTCCTTTTTTACCAAAAATCAGGATACACACATATTGGTTTCGAATATATAAAATTATAAGTTCAAAAATAATGATATATTTGCAACAATAAGGTATAACTATATTTTAATGTTTATTATCTATTTGCTCTTGGATATATTTAAATATCTAAGATCTATATCATTATTATAGTGAGAATAATTTTGATTAGACATATTCATATTGTACAGCGTGTGTCAAGGTTTGTTTGATTTAATAATAGCTTCTCGCACTGATTACAATATAGGTAATTTTTACTATATGATACAGTACCTATGGTATAGTACATAGGTAGGTACATCATACCTACTGTATTGAACAGTATTTTGTATTATGAATACAACGATGTACGGCACAAACACATAAAAAAAAGTTGGAAACTGTTTCAACAGGATGGTGCACCCGCGCACAACAACGCCCTAATCGTGCGATAATAGCTATAGGGCATTCCATTTTTCAGGAAATTTGTTCGATAGTTATTCTCGCAAGATTAGGGCGTTGTGCGGGGGTGCTACTCAATACGGTGTGTACTTTTTTGCGGGCCATATGAAAAAATAAAGTTGATGATGTCTCCGAAACGTTGTCTTATAGAGTTCAAAAAGTGCAGGCAATGAGAAAGTGTTTTCTATTTGTTTGTATCTGTTCAAATGCCATAATCGAAAGAAACGAAACGACAAATTTTTCTTGGCATATCTTCGGAAGTAGACGAAATTTTCTGTTATTTTTTTAAAGCACGATAATATAACTGTTTAATTGTTCAACTTTTTCCTAATTTGACCATTGTCGTATCTTCTATGGTTTCAGAGATCGCCATGGACATCCTATTTTTGGACACAGTGGATTTCACGGCTCTTCTTTTACTTCTGAAAAGATCCCCCAAAAACATCGAAAACAAGCAATTTGGAACACCCTGTACACATGAGGACGTGTCTTTATTTCACTAAATTTGTCTACTACATCAACATATAATTGATTTCTAGAGAAGTTTATTTTCCTACGGATAGGTAACATTGCCAGACTTGAATCTGTATTTCCTCATTGTAGAGCGCCGGAGCGCCCCCCCCCCCTTTCGCCGCCATTGCACAGCTCCACATCGAACTTATTAGTGCCAATCCACCGATCTCTCTGCAGCAAGACTGTGGAAGTTGGGCGGTGGCGCTCCATTTTGTTGAAAGTACATAACTCTGTGCAAACTAATATCGTACAAAAAGTTGTCTAAAACATCTGTTACTTATTATAAATTGAGGTGTCTTTCCCCATTATGTGTACCTTCATCAAAAACCGGTCCAATAATTTTTCTGCCCATAATACCACACGTAATATGACATTTTCGTAGTGAATTATGATGCGTAAGAAGTGGGTTTCTCGTGTCATCAGAACAGTGCATATTTTTCCTTACACTATGCAGTTTTTTCTTGAGTTTTTTGACGTGGACGATGAAGTTGTAAATGTATCTACGAACTTATAAATTTATTTATAAAAATGAAAAATAATATTACTTAAATCAGTTAAATTTTATCTTCTCACCTTCCACCTACATAATTGTTGGTAAATACATAAATAAATAAGTTATTGTCTAAAAATTAAAAAAAAAAGATGGCGGACATTTTTTTAAAATATTTCCTTCGTATTTGCCATATAGTCAAGTTGGATCGAATGGGACTTTTGGCATGTTAATAAGAAGGATGTTCTCTACACATTAAACAAAAATCCGATGCAACTGAATACCGAACGATCCTCAAGATCTTCACACATACCCACAGCATTTTTACAATACACATTAAGGGGTTGTTTCAGTCCCACCAGATCAGCATAGCTTGTAAAACAAATTTTTTGAATCGGCATTAGTTTTACTTTTATTCGAGGTGCCTACATGAAAAATTCATTTAAATATCTTAACAGAAAAAACCGACTGCGCATGCGCAAAACAAATTTTTTGGTTCGGCGTTCGTTTTACTTTTATTCGAGGTGCGTACATACAACAGCTGGAATGCGCATGCGCAATATTTTTTTGCATCTGCCTGAGGTTTAAGGAATATTTACTAACACAGAAAACCGGACATGCATATGTTCTTTGTAACAAGAGTTATAAAAGAAACCCTTTTTGGAGGGTTGGGCTGTAACTTTTTGGGCCGTCGGTCTAGGTAGCTGAAACACAATAGCGACCTTTCTTATAGGTATCCTGAAGAACATGTATATCAATTTTCAAAGCAATCTGACGTTTCTACACAAAGTTATCCTGCACACAGACAGACGGACGGACGGACAGACAGACAGCAATACAAAATTATAAACGATCTCGAGGATCGTTAATAATTAACTTGTCTCTAATTTGTTCTACCCGAACACCCAGTATATTGCCTGTACTTTCGGCCGCTTAACGCAAGAGCTATTATAGCGCACACGGACGAACAGATGGACGGACGGACGGACAAAAATTAAAAGCTATATATCAGGAGATCTTAACTAAAGAGTTATAGCGAACACATCAGTCGAGTGGGCAGTCAAAAGACGGACACTCATGCAAAACTATATTAAAGGGTTTGAGGATTCTTTTAATAGTTTTCAAACTTGGTCCCTTTTCTTAGGGAACTTAATAGCCTAACTGCCTAATAAAACGTAGGTATAGTGAGACCAGTTTAGGGATGTTTAGTTAGGCATTTGTGAAACGCTCCGATAGAATAAATTTACATTAATCATCCCTTAAATGCTTATATATAAAACTGCTTCTTTTGTAACTGATGTGTTTTGTAGCTTTGTGTAGTATATAAGCTTATATGGCCCAGTATATGCATTCCTTATTAATAAACAATTATTGGGGGGTAAATACACAAGAACTTGATTTTTAATCGGATAATTTTATTTTTACACGAAAGTTTTGTTGCAACGGAAAAACTAGAGATCAAAAGCGTGATAAAATCGCGACAGCTCTAGCTGGAGCGATTTTATCATGTGCTTTTGATCGAGAGCTTTTTCCAGAGGTAAGCAACAAATTTTCAGCGAATTAAAAATAAAATTATCCTGATTTAAAAACCAAGATCGAATGTATTTTGGGAGATTAATAAAATACAGTAAATTTTACAACCTCTAGCTATATTTTACGCATTCCTATACGCGCATTTTTATAGCGTTTAATCGCTGATAAAAAGCTACCTAGCTTTGAATCAGATAAAAAATCATCTGATTGGTTAGAATTTGAAACAATCACCAAGCTGATTGGTCGTATATTAATGGAGTGTATTAATCATTAAAAACAAAGCGAATAGCATAGAATTATTAATACCTACCTACCCTCGTACCTACCTATATACAGGGTGGTGATTTGCGTAACGCATCATAGGGATTTCAATGTAAAATTCGTAACATGCGATTATTGGCTCCCCAAATTATTTTAGAGCAAAAATGTATTAAAGTTTTTTGTAGAAAAAATAATTTTTTTACGCCATTCAACCGTATTAGTTTTCAATTTAATCATAATAAAGAAGGAAAATTGGAAAAATAAAACCCTCATCCTTTTCAATAATCTGCAATGCCATGGAATTTTCTAAAACAAAAAGATTAGTTATAGCAATTAGCAGCAGTTCGAAATGGATTTTATGAACGACTTGGTTACCGTCTTGCAGTTAATGGTGACTTATTCGAACATTTATTGTAAATTGTTATATTAGGAAACCGTTTTTAGTAATTTGGTCTTTCTTTATGTTGAATTCGCTGTTCTAAATATAATACTTTTTGCGATAGAATTTGATTTGTTTTATAGCAGACATTCCATGGCATGACGGATATTGACGTAGTTTTTGTATTATAAAATTCCATGGCATCACAGATTATTGAAAAAGATGCGGGTTTTATTTTTCCAATTTTCCGTCTTTATTATGCAACAAATTGAAAACGAATACGGTTGATTGACGTAAAAAATTTTTTTGTACAAAAAACCTTAATACATTTTTGCTCTAAAATAATTTGGGGAGCCAATAATCGCATGTTATGAATTTTACATTGAAATCCCTACGATGCGTTACGCAAGTCACCACCCTGTATATCAATGGCGAATAGTTATAACTGTCGCCATCTATAAATCTACTATAAAAGTTCTGTGTTCTGCTTTATCCGGTTCCGGTTTCACTTGAACTTTTAAAAACATTGCAAATTTCTAATTGCATTAATACAATTATCTACTAAAGCAGAATTATTTAAGATATTTATCCGTGATTTGATTTTTGCATGACAAATTGGTTTGCTTCTTAACTGTGTACGTACGTATAGGTATTTATTTAGTTGTTTAGCTTCGCACGCCTAACCTAGTTTCCTTAAAAACATACTTCTTGCAAATTTGACCTGTTATAATTAGATATCGCTTAGTGTACAATAAAAGCAGTGAAGCAATGTCGCGTAAGAATCAAAATAAACGACAGACAAATTCTAAACAAGGGACTCAAGCAAGAATTGGAGTTTTAGTCGACCAACTCTTTCGTTTGACAACAAAACAAAATGAAGAAAACGTCTCGCAAAAGATGACATTGGTCAATCAGCTGTATCAAGTACTCAATGAAATTCGCGCATTAGAAAAAGAAAACGAAATGGAGGAAACTGTAAACAGCCGATGTAATGCGACCGTCCTATCGCGTTTCACCCAATGGCTCACCAAAAATGGCGCCAACTTTGACGGTATAAAAATCGAGGAGTTTGAGGGTTACGAGTTGGGACTGTTAGCCGAACGGGACGTAGAAGAGTCCTCGTTGATTATTACCGTACCAGAGGCTCTAATGATGACTATCGACGCGGCAGAGAAGTCCGAGTTGGGTTATTTACTTGAAACTGATCCCATGCTAAAAAATATGCCGAATGTCGCGCTTGCCATCTTTTTGTTACTTGAAAACTTTAGGGGAAAATCGTTTTGGAAACCGTATATGGATATATTACCCACGGTTTACTCAACTGTACTGTATTTCAGTCTCGATGAGTTACAAGATTTGCAAGTGTCGTCTACGTTAGAAAGTTCTTTAAAACAAATCGCAAATATCGTCAGGCAATATGCATACTTTTATAAATTAATTTGGACTTTCGATGATGCTGCTTCTCGTATCCTCAGAAAAAAATTTACCTTCAATTATTACCGGTAAGTTCCATTTTTATATGTGTTAGCTTTTCTTTTAGTTTATAGCTACAACGTATAGGTACATAAACAGATTATTTTCCTTATTTGCGTACCTTAATATACGGGGTGTTACGAAATTCGCGCCCACGGTTAATGGCGGTTTTGAGACAAACAATTGAAAACCCTATATTACACTTTTGACGATCAAGATACGAGGTTGCAAAAAAAATGAGAAAATTTTGAATTTCAAATGGTTCATTTTAGATATAGAGACGTAGAATATTTTTTAAAAATTAAAAAAAATGAAGTTTTCACATTTTCAAAACTGCGAAAGTTGACATAAATTCCTGAGCACTTTTATAAATTTTTTGAACAGTTGTTACCTATTGGGCATTACCAATTCTTAAAATAATGAGCCTGTCTCGTTTGCTTTTCAAGAGAAAGAGTAGGTATATATTTTGCAGAAAAGTCTAAAAAACTCAATTCACAGGTACCTAATATATTTGTTTCCTCCTCTCAAATTTTAAAAAATGACTAGCATTAGTTATATGGATAATGATTGCCTCAACTCGTCGTTGGACACCGTGTATTTTACTTGTCATTACTAATTATGTAGAGAGCCTATTTTCCAAAAACTTCAATTAACACCTATAATATTTATTTAGGTACTTGAAATAATTGCAGTCTATAAGAACTGAAGTGCCAACCTCATTTATATATATATATAAAACTTCGCGTGCTTTTCTATGATCGTGATTGTTTCTGGTATCTACTTATGGAGAAATACAGGGTGAGTTTTTATAAAGGTGTTACAAAGTGATATATCGAAAATTATGAAATTATTGATTTATTAACATGCTTTTTACGTTTTTTTCTCAATTTTAGGGGCGACTCTGTGACATTTTAAATGAAAAGATGTTTTTTGTTTTTATAAAATTCGAAGCTAGGTAGGTACATAAAAATCTACATAATAATATAACATATTTTTGTTTTTAATTGCTTCCATCCGCATCTAAAATAACTACCTACAGGGTGTTTTTTTTTTGGAGCTTTAGTTAAACGTTTCTGGGAAAATACCTAAAATAGGTAGGTTTTTAAAAATGTGTACTTAGGAGTTATTCCGAAGGCCGGATCGATGTAAAATATTTTCAAAATGGCTGCACTTTCGGAAATACCGGAAGTAGATCGTAACTTCGATATTTTAAATGCCAACTCCTATTTTTTATTGCATTTTTGGATTCTACGTGAAATTTCAGTTCTTTTGATACCCTGCACATGTTGATATCTGCCATAAGTTATTTTGACTTTAAGAAAAAAATGGCGGATGCAGATGGTACCTTGATAATTGATTACCTACTTGAAAACGGTTGTAGTCATGGCAACCCATTTTTATCTGTTCATAGAGAATGAATAGGGCTTTCTTTTAGTGTACTTAAAAAAAAGTTAAGTTGTGTAGTACCTACCACCGCACCTATGGAGATCCAAATTTAAGAAACTTCAAAGACTAAAAACTCAGTTTTTTTTAAATTGAATGACCATGTTCCTACTATTACCCGAGATAGAGAATCGAAATTAGCGTATTTTGATATTACATGTTCCTATAGCTATCTTTAACAGTTTCTGATTTATTCCCATTTCATTGAATTGGTGCCATTTTTTTTCGCATTTTCTTTTTAGTAGTTGGCCATGATTTTAAACAATCGAATTTTAAACAAATCAAGGAAAGGATACTTTAATATCTTTGATTCTGGTCTAAATAATTCATTAATAAAAAAGACAACAATGTTATCAGCTATAATTGGAAAACCCAAACTTATATGAAAATATAGGATCAAATTATTTAAAGAACTCTTTCTTCCTCAACACATGCTCAAAATGAGAGCCTTCGTGTTGCAAACACAATTCAATTCATTTTCTTAAATATTCTCTTTGTATCACTTGTGATTCAAGGGTTTGTAGTGCATTTGGGGTTACAAAATTTCCAAAATTCATACAATTTCGTTCCAGTGTTCGAATAAACGTACGGCGATTCTGTCCATTTCACCATAAATAATTAAATTGCAAAATAGGTGAAACCACTGATGCGAGCCATTTTTCGATTTTTGAAAAACTTGTGCGTTAACCTATACCTTTAACAGTAGGTGACGGTTTAGTGTCACTAGATTTGTTTAAAATTCGATTGTTTTAAAATCATGGCCGACTACTAAAAAGAAAATCCGAAAAAAATAGTGTCAATTCAATTAAATGGTAATAAGTCAGAAACTGTTAAAGGTAGCTATAGGAACATGTATTGTCAAAATATGCCCATTTCGATTGTTTATCTCGTGCAATAGTAAGATGGTCATTCCATTTAAAAAAACTGAGTTTTTAGTCTTTGAAGTTTCATAACTTTGGATCTCCAGAGGTGCGGTTGTCCCAGAGACATGGCCATGTCTCTGGGTTGTCCGCAATTAACTTTTTTTTAAGTACCTACACTAAAAGAGAGCCATATTCATTCTCTATGCACTGATAAATATGGGTTGCCATGACTACAACCGTTTTCAAGTATGCATCCGCCATTTTTTTCTTAAACTCAAAATAACATAAAAACCATAAATGGCAAATACAGACATGTGGATATTAAAAGAACTGAAATTTCACGTAGAATAAAAAAGAAATAGGGATTGTCATTTAAAATAACGAAGTTACTACTACTACTGGTATTTCCGGAAGTGCGGTCATTTTAAAAATATTTTACATCGATTTGGCCTTCAGAGTAACTTCTAAATACAAATTTTTAAAAACCTACCTATTTTACTTTCCCAGAAACGTTTAACTACAGCTCCCAAAAAAACACCCTGTAGGTATATCTTCGTAACCATGAAAGCAATTAAGCAAAAAAATATTAGCACAACGTAGTTTTTTATGTAGATTCGATTTTCGAGTAAAAAAACCGCACTGAACAATATTCTCAGAGAAAAGGTGTAGGTTCGAGTGCACATGCATACATACTATATACAGGGTCGCTACGAAAGTTGGAACCAAAGCTGCCACGCTCAAACCGTTTGAGATATATATAGCATGAAAATTAGAACGCTTCCATTTGTATCTGTATAATGGAACATAATAACCCAATCTCATTGGGAACGCAGGGTATATCTAATTGCCTAAACTACTACCAGATCGGATATGATAAACAAAATTCCCTTCTTGCAGATGATCTTATGAACAACTACCAATATTGAGCTTCATAGACAAAGTAAAATAGGACTTATTGATATTCAGGTGTTCGTATCCCTATGAAACTATATCTACTTCATAGGAGCCTTAACGGTCTTTACTATATTTAGCGCATATTTTAAAGATTAAAAAAAGTGCTATTATTCGCGTTTTGTTCGCGTGTCTGTCCGTCCGGACCTACTTCTGCCGTTTTGAACGACTTCTAGGTGAATTGTCCAAAGGCCTTTTGCAATAGGTAGCCTTATACTCTGAAGGTGTGCCAAACAGCCATCAAATGTGTTGCCTTAAGAGAATGAGGAAAATATCACGTGAATCAGTGGTACCGGAGGTCACCCACACACAGTCTCCGCGTTTAACGAACAAGTTCCAAATGAACGAATTAATTTAAAACTTAATGTAGACTAATGGCTAAAGACTAATGTCACCATAATATCTATTTTAATCAGAAAGAAAAGATCTATTTAATTTGTGATATCGTTATACAGGGTGTTCCATTAAAAATTTACCAAGTTTTTTCTATCTCTTATAACAACACGCTACGCGTTGTCTAAATATACGGGCTAACCCGGTATACAAACGAATATCTCATAATACGGATTCTGTGAGAAGTTAAAAGGTTTAAATAGAAAACAACCAACTCTGATGTTTTTGGGATCGACATATCGGTACTCTTAAAGTTTTTATTTGCATTAGTAGTAATTGACGAAATTCGATAGATAATTTTTATTATACTTAATTGAAATCACTTTATTTACACAATTAGAAATAGTGGAAGTTGTCCTTTTTCAGGCTAGCGCACGGAAAAAGTGTTCACGGTCCCTCGAACGTCCATCAGTAGCACAGTTTAATAGAAGTATTTAAAAAGTGGCTGCTGTGCGCTATATGCGTATAGCTTATCCATTTAGCAACCATCCGAGGCATTCTGCCTCCAATTTCGCTTTCTGCTGTATTATAATCCTGTCTTAGACACCTTGTATCTCACCTTGCACACTTTGTATCTCCCTTCTTCAATTATTTCTTGCTGACCAGCTTCGGTTTTAGCTTCTATTTTTCAGCGTACATTGTTTGTTGAACACCTTCAATGGTTTGTTGACGAGCTTTCTATTTTAGCTTCTACGACCTATTGACCGGCTTTTATTTCTTGCATTAATTGCAAAAGTTGGAGCATCTTTCTGGTCATTACTGGCATAAACTACCACTAAAGCGAGAATACCTATCGGGCATATTTTCTGGAAAATGAAAATTATGTCCGATAGGTGTTCTCGCCCGATTAACGCGTTATGCGCAGGTGCACCATCCTCTTTAAGCCAACAGTTTCTTAACTTTTGTTTCTTTTTGTATTCCGTAGTTGCATCATTTTACTCGTAATAAAAAATGCTACTCAATACAGTATGTACTTTTTTACGGGCCATATAAAAAAGTAAAGTTGATGATGATTTCTCCGAAAAGAAACGTTGTACGGAAAATTTCTTAATGCTGTCTTGTAGAGCTCAAACCTAGTGGCAATGAGAAAGTGTTTTTGAAAACTAGCTGCTAACTTCACGCAGGAACTTGACAGCAAAGTGAACATACATTTCAGAAAATCTAAATGCTACACATAGTATTTACCTATTTTGTATTTCAATTCGTAAATGTTAGAATATTCTCGTGAATATTGAGATAAATTTCTTTGCCATCCATATCTAGCCGTGGTCGTCACTCGTCATCGTTGATCTTAATCCTAATCGTTGTAGCTGCCACGCGGGCAGGTCGGGTTCGATTCCCGGCCGGTGCAGATTTTTTTAAACTTTTATGTTTTGCCA